CCTTGACTAAATTATATCTTACACCTGGTTGTACCATGCGCACGGTACACTCGGGATTTTTGTTTCTGTTGCGCTTTGATCGTCATTCATACTAGGCTCGTCGCCCGCTGCTCATCGCTTCGTTCAGCACCGTACTCAAATGGACTACTACTCAAATAGGCTCCTCCTGCAAGAAGTCAAGAACGCATCACCTCATCCTTCATCTTGCGCAGAAACGGTGGCTTCGACACTAATTACCACTCTTCCCTCTCTTTTTCTTTCCACTCTTTTCCTATTTCTCTTTTTCTTACACAGGTTTGGTGAGTTTGGTCACTTGTTTGCTGCAGGCTGCAAGGAATCTAACATATACATAGTTTTACTGATATGAGCATGCACAAATAAAAGTTTGAACATAATAGAGATTTTAAATGAATTTTTAGAAATTTCTCATGCCCATTTCATTATTTATGCATACTCAATTGATATAGGTGTAATACTCATTTTAAAATGTTATATTCATATACTTCAAAAGTATAATACTCCATCTGTTCTTTATTAACTGTCTTGTATTCCTTTTTGGGACGTTTTTAATTATTTGTCTCTCTTTCTAATTTAGGAAAGTTTTTGATAAAATACCTCCACTTTTATTACTTTTACCACTCTTACTGTTTACAAACTACTTTCTCTTTCCTACTTTATCATAATTTTACTCTAATTAATATATTATCTTTCCTACTTTATCATCACTTTACGCTTTTTAATATACTCTCTTTCTTACTTTATCATTTACCCTACACACTCTACATTTACCCTACTATTTTTCTATTAAAACTCGTGCCCAAGGCTAGCAGGATAGATAATAAAGAACAGAGGGAGTATTACATTAAATTCACATTTTGGATTCATACGGGTTCATTGTACATATTTTAAAAAATAAAAGAAGAAGAAGTGAATTATAAGATATGAAGTCAATATCACGATGTTCATTATTATACTCTCAATACTCGGTAGAATAGATTTGATGCTCACTAAAAGTACATTAACGCTCATTTAATGGAAGCCACGATTTTCATTTAAATTACGAAAATACCATCAACTGTACAATGATCGGTTGTACGGTATATGAAGGCTCACCCCGGTCAAGGACCAGAGATGGGGTACAAAAGATGGGGGTAGAAAATTATCTATTTTAACAAATTCTTCTTATACACAAAATTTGTACACATTTATACGTAATTGTTTGTACACGGGCAATGTTGCATGAGCTGTCTGTGTACACATGCAACTAGGGGATGTACATCTCAGGCAATGTTGCATGAGATGTGTACGAATGTCGAGTACAAATAACTTTTTTTCTATTTATACACGAGGTAATGTATGTGGTAGCGTGTAGGGATTTGGGGTTAGAAAAAGGAATTATGGAAGCAGCTATATTCGTACTGGTTTATCATGCGGAACCGAACCATAAAAGGAAGGGAAAATGAAAATCAACCATGCTAGGGTACATAAGTTGTACACAAAATGTCGGTCACAAACAATTGTTACGGAATTGTCTGTGAGCACAGACAAAAGTTGTATTTTGTCTGTGTACACAGACAACTTTTGTCTGTGTACACAGACATTTACTTTTTTGCAGAAAGTAGACTGACAGCCGCCTGACACTGACATCAACTTGCAAATCAATCAATATATGTGTAGTGCCTGTGTGCACAGACAATATTTTCATGTTACACAGACAATTATTTGTCTGTGTGCACAGACAATAATTACCACACATACAATAGTTGTGCGTTTCACAGACAATAGTTGTCTGTGTGATCAACTTTAGTTGTCGGTGTGATCAATTTTAATTGTCTGGGTGAACCAAAAAAATTAATTGTCTATATACATCCAAATGAATCATGTAGTCTGAAAAAAATTAGAAAAAAAAATTGTAATCTGAAAAAAATTAGAAAAAAAAATAAAAACATATGAAATAAGATGAATAAGCTGACTTTGTGCAAATAATGAAAAAATTTGATATAAAAAGGTAAAGAAGAAAAGGATGAAGAAGGAAAGAGGAGGATGAAGAAGATAAAGAGGAAAGAGAGAAGGGAGAGGGGGAAGAGAGAAGGGAGAGAACCGAGAAAAGAGAGGGGAAAGTTAGAATTTTTTTTGCTTTTATACCATGTACAACTTGTGTACATGTGTGTACACTAAGCAAAATTCAATGAAAATTATTAATCTCACCTTTTAGCGATCTTCTTACAACAGTCTCATCTACCTGTAATTCAGAAATAATCTCACCTTTACGCCCCATCTTCTTTCATCAGTCCCTGACCGGTTGATGACATGTTATTCCAGGTTATTTCCTTTTCTATTCAAATTATTAAATCATAGATCTCATCATTTACGAATCTTCTCGAAGCGGTCCCACATATCATTTTTCTTTTTTCTCACTAAAAGTTTTCTCTTTTTAATTTTATCGTCTTGACTCTTTTATTCCCCTTTTTCGTCTTCTTATTCTTATTTTTAATTTTTTCCATGTTTAGGTATTCCATTTTCCCTTCTTTTTCTTCTTCCCGTTTATTATTTCATATCCATTTTTATGTATTTTTTCTGGATTAGTTCCCTTCTTATAAAAGATTTTTTTCTCACCCTACTAAATTTTAATTTTTTTACTTTCTTTTTACTTGCACTTTTTTTCCCTGATTCCACTACTAATATATTTTGGAAAAATAGCCCTGAATAGGACTAAACTAATTGCTAAATGCACACATACAAATATGTTACTTATCTTCCCAAAATAGGACAAAAGTATACGCTCTCTTCCTATTCTCTCATTACCATAACTTAATAGGATAATCATATTTTAAATTATAATAATAATAATAATAAAATCATTTATAAAAAAATCGTAAAAAAATATTAAAAAATTCAAAATATTTTTAAAACATAATAAAATACTCCCTCCATATTTTAAAGTTTGTTACACTTTCCTTTTTATGATGTATTTAATAGTTGTTACACTTTCCATTTTTGGTAAGTTTTTATCCTTTAAAAATACTCAATTCCCCTTACTTTTTCTACATTTTATACTCTTTCATATTTTTTCACCTTCTATCATATTTTTTCTACACTATTCATTATCCATACTACTTCATCCTTAACTGATGTGCCCAAACTTACTGTAGTGAACTTTTAAATACGGAGGGAGTAATAAAAAAAGAGCACATAAAAAAATAGGGCTGGGTGTTTGGGGGGGGGGGGGGGGGGTTGGGGGTTAGTTAGAAAGCAAAAAAAAAAATTAACTTGGCCCGGCCCGGTTAGGACTGGACCCGGTATCAACCCGGGCCGGTTCCGGGCCCAACCATTTGAAAAAAAGCCCGCCCGGGCCCGGCCCTGAATCGGACCAGCCCGGGTCCATCCCTAGAATGGACTATTCACATGTTCCGATGGCATTACTCCTGATCATAAATAGATAGAGGAAGCATGATTTGTCAACTCAGAAATTTGAATTTAGCTGTGGGGATTAGGAAGTGGATGTGGAGACTCGAGAACTGTGATCTCATGAAGTCCAAACCGAAAAACATGTGTTAATGAATGGAGTTCAAATGTTAAAAATCTTAGTTTTTTCATTTCAGTGTGTGGTCATCTGGGTGCGAGCAACGAACGATCTATCTAAGGTGTGAGTTGCAAGGCGTCTGTCTGAGGTGCGAGGGGCGAATAGCCATTAGGGACTTAGGGTGCGAGCAGCGGATCTAGGTGCTCGGGAGCCATCCATCTGTGTAACATCGATGAGCAAAGCACATGTGCAACAAAAAACCCGATTGTACTAGGCATGGACTGGTTCTGGACCGGGCCGAGCTCCAGGCCGGTCCAAACCAGGCTTTTATGTTGAGGATTAAGGCCCGGAACCAGCCCGAGATTCTACCGGTTCTGAGCCGGGTAGCTTGTTTTTTTTTTGGTTTTCTAATTAAATCCTACCCCCACCCCCACACCCGTCCAAAACACCCAGTCCAACCTGCCTACCACCCAAAGATCTAAAAAAAAAAAATTGGCCCGGATCGGCCGGGCTGGTACCAAAGAAACACCCAGCCTGAGCCCGCCCCCAAAACACCCCCGGGTCGGGTCATAGGCCCGGGTCTGGTCCCGGGCAACCGGGCCGGACCGGTTTAGTACAGTGGTAAGCCGGGCCATCCCTAGATTGTACCGTGCGTATGGTACAACGGACTATTGCTCTGAGTCAAACCCCAACCCCTAGGGCAAACCAGCGGTCTCTGTGCTCTGAGTCACAGACTCACAGCAAACCAGCAGTCTCTGTGCCCCAATATGAAGAAAAAATGCCGTGCGTCATAGATATCCAAAAATTTCCTACTGTTACAATGAGAGTTATGGTCTCAAACGTAGGGCTTGATTCAGTTCGGTTCCCGAACCGAAATAAGAAATATCCGAACCGAACCGATCTTTCAGTTTCGTATATTCTATAACCCGAAACCGAACCGATCTAAGTTGGGACCCAATTTTTCGGAAACTGAATTTTCGGTCCGATTTTTCGGTTTTTGTGAAAAAACCGAATGGGTATTCAATATTTGTTTATATTGTAGCTAATACTCGCACTCAAGCTTTACTAGCAACTTAGTCCTTATCAGCTATGAAGGAGAGATTATATAGGCTCATATGAGGAGTGAATTCTCTATTTCATCCGGTGTGGGACGAGTTGTAGGCTGAAGAAAATCAAATTGGAAGAATTGGGGCGGAAGAAAAGCAAAAAAAGTTTAAGGTAATCCGTCCTTGGGGGGATTCGAACACGCGTGACACGAAGGGAGCGTGTTACCTGTCACCGCTGAGCTACTCCGGATTATTGGCAAATCAGGATGCCAAATGTATTACATAAATTAGTTAAAGAAATTATATAAAATAATTTAAAACTATTATTTAATAAATAAATCGGTTCGGTTCGGTTTGAACCGATTTTCAATATCAAAGAACCGGTTCCGAACCGATTTTTATTCGGGTCCCAACTTTCGGGTCCCAATCAAGTCGGTTCAGTTTCGGTTCGGTTTTTTTCCCGCTCGGTTCGGGTTTTTTCGGTTCGGTTTTCGGTTTTTCGGTTATAAATTCCAGCCCTACTCAAACGTGCAATTCACTAATGCACCACTCTGCTATATGTACTAATCCCTTGGAAAAGAAGGATGAGAGACTTCAGGCAAAAAAGAACATGAAGTAATAATCTATCTAGACAACAAATCTAGGCAGTCCACAGGCTGAAGCATCAAAACATCAAGAAAATTACTCTAAACAACACTTGCAGACAGAACATGTTGCAGAGATGAACATATGCACATTGAAGCTTTCGTTTTTTAGTCTACTTCCATATCAGATATTGCCTCGTTCAGTATACTCTTTAGTTGGTTGACTCTTTGTTTTGTCAATGCAAAGCAATCCTGAAAAGGTCAAATTACAGCTTAGGGATGAGCATTGCCATCAAATAGCATGCAACACATGGTCACAAGTTTTAAATAATACTGCATTATTGTCAATTTATCTTTTTTGATTACTCACATAATCCGCTTATTAGCCAACTTGTCAAGCAAACGCCTGTTGACAGTATTTTAATGCATTGCTTAATAAATAAATAAAAGTAGTGCAAAAGTTATTTTTTGGCATAAATTGTTGAAAATGAAGATAGTAACACTATAACAGTATGAAACTTCTACTATCCTCTTTTAAATATTATTTCACTAAACATTATGTTTCATTGTTTAAACGCACTTTTATAAACATTATCTTATAAAAAACAGTATGTTTCAAATGCATTTTTAGGTAGCTTGACTCAATTAGTACATTCACCCATTTCAACCACAGTATCAAAAGATTCATGCAAAATTTCACATTTACTGGACGGCTCTATACTCTTCCAGTTGTCCGCATTTGAAGAAGTTATCGGCGGCACATTGTTAGAAGGAGCACACTACAGTTTATTGAACTGTTTAGAAGTTTGAGTATATGAACCTCTTTTTGTTTCGATATTTTCTACCCAAAACTTTTATCTTAGACGTTATCAATTGCAGAAAATAGTTATTATATAATATGAAGTAAAATAGACAAAATAGACGATAGCATTTTAATTGCACTCCAACGTCTCCAAGTTGCAGCAAACAAAGATTAACATGGAGACTCACCTTGATAGTTGAAGTGTGGGCAAGGACAGCCCCTCCTGGCTTGTTAAGGGATACAATTTGATACGATGAATCCAATACCACAGTAAGAACAGCTTCCATTACAGACTCTTCCTCTGCTGTAGGGTCTGCTAGGATATATTTTTTGTGTAGTAGGCATGTCAATGAGAAGGGAACACTATTTATATTCAGTTTTTTCTTCCCTTCTTTAGAGACCGGTTCATTTTCATCCATTACATCCTTTTTGTTTTTGTTTTTAGAACCAAGAACTACTCTCCCGTCATCATTCAAAGAAGCTGGAGGAATCTCCACTGCAGCAGAAAGATAAAATCTTTTTTTCAAAAAGGGGCAAAAAGAACAGCAACAAAAGCTTGTTTTTATAAATGCGGTCAAGGTTAGAATTTTTTAGTGCCCTAACTAGTGCAGATCAATTACTAGCTAACTTTAACTATTTTCATTCATTAATATGGGGAGAAGGGTAAAATATGGAAGAAATTATTTAATGCGCATAGATATCATAAAAGGACAGAAGAAAAGAAACAAACAAATCTGGTCAATGAAGACATTTGAATAGGGACATGGGGAGTGTAATGCCAATAAAATTTAAATGTACTCGTGAGATGAAGAAAGCCAAATTGAACCTAACATGAAATTGTTCGAGCTAATGGATACTTTTATGGACTTCAATATCCATAAAGTCTTGGCAAAATATTTTTCAGGATTCAGATATAACAAAGAATATGGATAGCAGAGGCTGGTAAGTTAGATATTTTACATTGAGATTTATTGCGCTCTATGAAGATCTAGCGCTTTATGAATCTATCTACCAAATACTATAACTGAAAGAGGTGTGAAACCATAGCACGCACAATGTGAAAAGGCAGCAACTGCTGCAAGTAATGCAGCATCAAACAGAGCACCATCAGCGTCCAAACAGTATATGTCCTGTTAAATGATTATTAAATATTCACACACAAAAAGTACAGACCAATACACATTCTGCTGCACCCAAAAAAATTAGAGGCTAAGCTGCCTAAGCATAATTGGGAACTATAAATTTACTGGGGAAAACAGATACGGAGTATTAAACATTTAAGCCCATTTTTTTAAACTGAAATATGTGTCTGATAACATAATGGAGTAACATCCGGCATAAGTCTGAAGATCTTAGGAACATTAAAGTTTCTCTTGTTCTTTAAATATAACAATTTCAAAGGCTAGATCATGAAAGTGGTTTTAAAAGCCGGAACACGCATAAAACAAGAAATAGTTAAATAATTAAATAATTAAATCACTTACTAGGTATGCCATCCAAGCAGCTTTTCCACTAACCACACAGAGTTCTTTGAAGTCAATCATGCCCGAACTAGGTAAGTTACATTTTGTCAGCACCATATATCATTCCATGAAAAAAAGCAAGAGTTCAAACAGTGAGCATAGGGAACAAACAACCAAAAGAAAATTGAGATTTCATATCCTTTTTAGGAAGTAGGAACAAGACGTAAATTACTAGAGATGACAGGTAACAACAGAAATCTTCTAGCTGACATTGTATCCTTTGTCACGCGGGGTCAGGCCACTTAGCCCAGCCCCCCACCGTCTGATCTTAAAGATTTTATTAATCCTAGATTATCTTTCTTTTATGGCTTCCTGAGGACATCAACATTATCATTACCCCAGTGCCGAAAACGCTCCCACCTACGGTGGGGTAGGGGGGGGGGGGGTCGGATGTATGCAGCCTTACCCGTGTACTAAAAGTACAAAGAGACTGTTTCCGGATGACCCATGGCGAAAATCGTGTCAAAAATTGCATGGATTGACGGCAACTTCATAACAAATAAGCGCAAACAGCTTAGTGAGTCATTTTGCTTTATTCCATCATTTTCCCAAGCCAAAAAATAGTGAATCTTTGGCTCCATTGCAAATGATGGAAATTATGACTTCCTCAGAATATTTGAAAATTAAGTACTTCTCAAGAACTCTTTTGGTATGATTTAAAACTAAGTATTGTGCAAATTTTATACCCATCTTTCTTCTCTATAATACAAAAAAGTATATATTACATGTGTAAGAAAATAAATTGTAAGAACTAATCTAGGGGGTTGCCAGAAAAACACGATAAAGTAATACACGACTAGGGTTGTAAACGAATCGAATAATTTTGATCCGATTCGCGATTCGAATTCGAAATTGATGATTCGAATTCGAAATATTCGAATACGAATTCAAATACGAATCAATTTTATTATTCGAATAAAATTCGAATACGAATACGAATATACATATATTCGATTCGTAAGTTATTCGAATATATTCGATTTGTATATTTACGAATTATAAATATATATTCTATTATATTTATAATTTATATAATTGTTTAAAATAAAATATAAAATAGGTAATACGTATTCTAGGTTTAAGTAATTGAACTAACTTTGTTTACTTTATTTGTGTGTGTTTCTTTAGCAATTGAGTTTTGAAGTAATTGAATTTATGAAATAATTAATTTAATAGACATTTGTGAAAATCGAAAAATGCATAAAATGAGTCATAATTTGAATAGGTGAATTTTTTTTGACACTTCAAATATTTGAATTTGAATTCGAATATTCGAATTCGAATTCGAATTCGAATATGAATATACTCAAATACAATAAACGAATCGAATATGAATCTATTGTAAGATTCGAATAATATTCAAATACGAATACGAATATTCGTCAATTTATACGAATACGAATAATATTACTCACTATTCTGTTCGATTCGATTCGTTTACAACCCTATACACGACTATATCATTAAGGCATTGAATATGATCAAATGTTAAGCAAAAAGTGAAGCACCACTTAAATAACCAGTGCTAACAAATAAGGCATCATGCAATTTAACGGTAAAGATATTGAAATGCATTGAACTAACACTACATATCAACCTAGTAATAGCGTCAGATAACTGTTTTGAAATTACTGGAGCTGCCTCCGCGGGCCGACCAGGTCGTACAAGAGAAGAACAAATTGGAGGCATGTAGAATTCAACCACTGAAATAACAAGTTCATGTATTTATAAGAACAACAATATTCCCTGTTAGTATATATTAGTCGAAAAGTGATATTAAATGCACTCTAAAATCAAAAGAATGTCATCTCAAACACACAAAATTGTCTAGGTTCTAGCTATTTAGCATTTTTCTTACAAGAAATACATAAAAAGTTCATGATAGTTACAACACAAACCCAAATATGACCAACCTATGGATCCCTCATCAGGAGATTCCGCAGCTGGAGTCATGACTTCCATCTTGATTGCAGCCAACATTGTCTGCACATTATACATGATAAGTAAGTAGAGAAACACAACTTCCGGGGGAAAAGGCTTTTAATCAAAACAAGCGAATAAACTTAATTACTTCAAGATACAGAAAAAAAGTAGAGCACTTACTGTGGAACCAATCTTTACCAGTGAAGATCCATTTGCAGATGCCACACTGCCTAGATATTAAAATACATATTCAATTAGAAATTAAAAAATCTCAAAGTCTAACAGTTTAAAACATAGCCAAAAGGATCATTCACCAACCAAGCACAACTGTTGTATGTCTAGCTTCTCCAAGTGCTCGTCCATCTGGTCGTATAGATTCAACAAGATAACGCTCATGAAAACGCAAGGGGAAAAGACGCCGAAATGCATCCAGCTCCATCTGTGATGACAAATCCTCGGAGCCATTGGTAGTCGTTTCCATTCTCAAGTTTCCGTAGTTCTGCCTGAAGAAAAGCACCTGCGTTAAGTAGTTTGTCTGTGAGCAGGGATGGCGGCTGAGGACGGTGGCGCTTGGGGTTGCCAGTCAATTTCATAGTAATTGGATCGAGTGCCGCGGGGCACCAAATAGAAAAGAAGGAAGCTTTTAGGACTATTTTATTTTCCAATTTTTGTTTGTCTTTCTACTCTATTGTATTTCCCAATTTTCATTATTATTTTCAATTTTTTAGTTCTCCATTTTCTAGATTCTATTACTCCCTCCGTCCCGGTCATTTCTTCCAATTTTCATTTTTAGACCGTCCCAATTAATTCTTCCAACTTACACTTTTGGAAAAAATATATGGTTCACATTCATTCACTTTTTTCTTACACAACTACAATCATACATTTTCACTTTATTCTCACTACCTAAATTTGCGATACCGGTCAAAACCGGAAAAAATGACCGGGACTGAGGTAGTATGTTTTTGTGGATTCAGGTATGAAAGTTTTTAAACTTGGAAAATATATTCTTACGAGCATGAATATTTTCAACAATATGTAGAGTTAACGTTTCGATAATAGTGTCATTGTTTCGATAACGTTTCAAAAATGATTGGCAACTAGCCAATTATAGGGTGTTTGGATTTGATTCTGATTCTGTTTGTTTTTTAAAACAAAAGTAGAATCAGAATCAGTTTTCAGAAGCCGGTCACCCACAGCTTCTAAAAAAACTGATTCTAGGAGTAAATTAGAGCACCAGAATCACTTTTTCACTTTTATCCAAAGACTCCAACTTCTGATTCTGCTCCCTGAAGGAGCAGAAGTAGTTTTAAGAATCAAATTCAAACACTCATAGCAGTGAACTAGTAATTAATATAACGGCCTCTGATTGCAATGGTAGTGGTCAATGATAAATGTAAATACATTAACGGTGATCAACAACACCAACATAAACAATAGTTTCTAATTGTGTCAATTGCATTTCATTTGGTTATGATACATAAAAAGTTTCCATTAACAACACTACCATAACAAAAAATGGGCTTATGTAAATATCACATTGCTATCGTATTCAAGATTCGAAATTCATAATAGTACTATTCCACAAACAAATTCCATAGATAAAATAGTGACAAAAAACTGAAATTCATAGAAAGTATTAGTACTTCAATATATACAAAACTAGATATTGTTAGAATGTATATTGATACCATACTCAAACATTACAGTACGAGATAAAAAATTTGGTTCCAATTTTAGAGATAAAATTGTTATTTTTGAGTACCCTAAGTTTCTAGAGGTTTTTCTTAGAATATTAATAAAATTAAACATGTGGACAAAAATGTGACTAAAGTAACTATAAATACACCTTTATAGTCCCTATGATGTAAAATTTGAACATAGTTATATTCACTAAAAGTTACTAAGTCATGTTTTTGTTCACTATCTTTATTTTGACCATACAATAGATATTTTTTCAAGTATCTATAGGTTTGCCGTACATGCAATATGCATACATTTTCAATATTTTGCAATCTTTATTCCTCAAGAACCTCTCCTTCTTTTTGCAGGGACACGCAAATATATTAGAGTTATGGTGAGCTTGAGCTCAGTGCAATTTACTTTTTCTCAATTTTTTTAATGTTTATTTTTCATTTTTCGCATTCAATCCACGTGTTATTGCTATAAGTAGAGTACAATTATTATTCCACCCAGCGTAAACTAGAATTTTAAATGAGTAAAACGTTTGGACATAATAATTAAGATTCATTTAAATTTATAACAATATCTTTAAGTACATAAAATATAGGAAATTAAAATGTTAACTGAACACGGCGTTCTTTAACTTGGCCTTAGTAAAAGTTGAGTTTCGGGATAAGGTTCAAGCATCAAATAAGATCGTCTGATTTCATCTCTCTTCTCAAACCCCCAATAACTTATTTTTTCTGTTTTCCGAATCTCGCTTAATTTCAACCACACCACAAACTACTTCCTCTTGAACGAGTGAAATAGTTAGAGTTTCAATCAAGTCATTTGATTGTTATCTATTTTCTGTATTTGCAGTAGACTTAAAAAACAATGCAATGTTGTTTTTGCCTTTTTAGATGAAGATTGGGTAGGCATACCTAATTAAATTCAAAACAATTAATAAAATAATCTCTATATCATTTTCAAACATATCATTCATATTAATATGTTAAAAAAAATCACAATCCTGATTTTCAATTTTAAAAATGAAAACACGACACAAATTATTCACCAAAACTACAAGAAATTCACAATTTACATTCTAAAAAAATCGTATAAGTGAAAACAGTCAAACACTCAATCTCAAGAATCATGATTCCAAGTTACAGAGTATTAGCTACTTAATTAAAATAAAAATATTTAATACGTAGTAATAAACACTTATGAGTTATAAGTTTATGACTTACCTGCTGCCGGGGTCTGGGGCGATTAACGGAGATAAGGAGGGCAGACTACCACGCAGCAGGGGTGAGCGGGGGCTGCGGGACTGTGACTGGCTGACTGCAAGCTTGCCTCCTTGCGACTCGCCGAAGTGACCAACGGGATGGCCGGATTGGGTCACGGGAAGTTCTTCTTCCTTCTGGCACTGGGCCGGCAGATTGGTACTAGGCCAACTAATAATCTTACTAGGCTAGTAATTTTTTAACTTATATCATACCGAGTACAAAATAATTACTCTGGGCCAAGCCCTCAGGCTCCCTCCCTCCGCCCCTGCTTCTTTTAGGCCTTGTTTGGTTCAAAGCAGGGGAGGGGAGGGGAGAGTCAAGGAGGGGAGGGAAGGGAAGAGGAAGGGATGATTTTGATAAAAATTTGTGTTTGGTGGGAGAAAATAGGAAGAAAGGTTTTAGTGAAAATATTTTCGCAATTACTTTTATTTGATAGCTTACTTAAAAAATAGATACATGTCGAACTATTGTGAATATTACTCCTATGGTCATGAGTCATAATTTTATTTTATTTGATTTTTTACTTTTTAATTTTATAATTTTTCATTTATCAGTTTGAATTTTTTTTTTTTTTATTTTTTATTTTTTTTTTAATTTTTAAAATTTTATATTTATAATTTTAAAATTTTAAAATTTTAAAATTTTTAAAATTTTTAATTTTAAAAATTTTTTATCTTTAAATTTTTTTATTTTTTCAAAACTTTTTGTTTTTTGCCTTTTTATATTATAACGTTTTGTTCATTCACGTAGGAGATGGATAGTTTGTGATTATAAACACGTTTCCTCCGAAATATCCCGATTTGGGGGTTTAGAATGAAAGGAAGTGGAAGATTTTGAAGGCCTTCAACTTTCCTCCCCTTCCTCCCTATTTCCTTCAACCAAACACATACAATTCCCCCACTTTCCTCCCCTCCCCTCCGAAACCCTCCAACCAAACATGGCCTTAGTGTTTAATATCCGATTTGAAATAAAAGAAGTATTTTCTACGGGATCCCGAAACCACCAGCCCCCGACCTAATTCATGGGGGTGGTGTTTGGCAAATGAGGGTTGATTGTTAGAGGGTGAATAACATCAAATTATATTGATTGTTTTGATTAGTAGATAATATTAGCGGTTTATGAAATGGTATTTGATGTTTACCAATTATCATTAATTAGTAACTAATTAAATGACCTTTAAGGACATCAATTTATTTTTGGAATACTTACGACGTTTAGGTGTATCATACTACGTATGAAATTATAATTACTGCGTATTATTTTTCTAATCATATGATTACTTAAATTGTGTATTCAATTCAATTCACATCCGTCTTAAGAAATTTGCAAGCAATACTAAAAACCAAACTCAATAATTGGAATTGTGATTTCTCTTTTAATTTCTCATTGAATTTTTTTGACTAAAGGCCATTGAAGCTAGGCACCAACCGCACCATATGTGTCAACTATGCTGGAGCAAAATCTGGTAGTGAAGTGTGATGAAGATAAGAGGAGGGTGGTGGTACTGCTACTTGAGTTATCTGAAGTTAAATGAAGCAGGGATAGTTTAGGAAATCGGAATACACAGGAAAGAGCTGATACCAAAACGCTAAGGATATCGACATTTTTTGTTTCAGCTGTCCAAGACAAAAAGCCAAATGAAATATATATCTAGTTATTTAGCTGATTCATCTGGTTAAAAAGTCATTTCATAATCAAATCAACCAAAAAATGGCGAATTGACTCCTAACCAAACACCCTCACGTGCACACGTAAAAGAAGAGAAGCGAGAAAAAAGAGAAACGTGTAAAAGAAGAAAAGCTTTGAAGTGGGAAATAGTCCCTGAGTATGACTTTTGAAACCACTTCTCAAGACTTCATACTAGAGCCAATGATTTTCCAGGACTTTCGAAAAAGCATATCATTAAAGTTTAAACTACAGAAATCTGGAAAGCATATACTCTGTCACAATTCTTTGTGTACAATTGAAGTTGAACCTATAACAAAACAACAAAACAATAACGCAGAACAAGATAACTCTACAAAGAATTACAGAACAATTCATATCTGCACTCTAGTTTTCCACTTTCATTCTAAGATGTTTCGAAGTTGCAATCAATCAACCATCACACCAACTCCATTAGCAGAGGGTCACCTGCCGACATAACCTTTATCAGTTTAATGAACTCTTGCTCACTAGATACTGTCCACGGCCGAACTGCGGGCGCTTCAGCAGAATAAAATGTTGAATTGTTAGGCTGGTTTTCCTTATAAACCATTGAATTTAACACCGGGTCGAAGTTCTTCATCGAGTCCATTGCCATGAAGAACATAGGTATTGCAACCTTGTAATGGATTTCAAGTTCTCCTACTAGATTCGCGAGATCGGTAAAATCGGTTACAAAGGGTCGAGGGATGTAGAAGACCTCAGATTCGCATAGGGTGAGGATCCTGTCATTTTCCCCTGATGCTTTGTAGTTGACTTGAAAGTGAACTGGCATTGTGTCTACAGTTTTCTTGACCAGGCCGGCTTGCTTAGATAGCCATTCAGAACTACCATCAACTGAAGCAGAGGTCCAAGATTTCGATACCTGAGTGCATTTGAAATGAAGTTACTCTCATGCACAAATTAGTTGTTTACACAATAGAATTTATAAGAGGGTACATTTTGTGGACAACAAAAAAAGACACATATATTCCCATCTAAACGCTACACACTAAATACACTGCTATGAGTGTCTCTGGATAGCTGAAAAATTGGACTATTTTAATAATTAACCAATCGTGGTTATAGTTGATTGTAATCACCGTCAATTTTTTTCCAAGAAGCATCTGAAAGAAAAAATAAGCTGTTGAAAAATAAGCACAAGATGCGACGTTCCAACTTAAAACAGTTGAAATCTTGCGGAAAAAGGTTATAAAAACAGAATGTTCTTAATAGGACTATAGTTTAAAAAACTGGAATTTCTAATAGAAAAAAACAAAAACTGAAATTGCAGGTTTCTGACCAAGCTCACAGATGGTGCATGTTTCAGCTTTTTAAATACTGGTCTTGTTTCAGGTGCCTAAAATTAGAAGAATTGATCATGGGGTCTTGAAACTGACTCATTTCAGAAGCTATATATCTACTTAATGTGTTTTAAAATGACATCACAAGTTCACAAAACAAATCTTCAGCCTGATTGCTTTGTCATGCAACAAAATCAATGTCAAAGCCCTCTGAAGCGCAGTCAACTCATTAGAACCAGAATCATCTTTAACACCCTCGAAACATTTAACAGACTGATTAAATTTCTGGTTGCATGTACCTGGTTAGTGATCCAGAGCTTAGACTTGTCCGCTTGCAGCAAGTTCCAATAGTTAAGGATAGTGTCATCCTGAAGAAACAGAAAGCCTTCTGCACTGGTGTATCTATCGAACATCGTAGGTAGAAACCTGTAAAACCGAACAAGGACACACACTATCAGAAAACTGAATAGGAGTACTACAAATGCAAAACAGATTCCCACATATTTTTAGTGTAATTGTTTGGCATGGGGGTTTGTGAGGGCATGGAAGGAGTGGATTGGTTTTTGTTTTGCGAATTTACTTGTATATGTTAGTCTTAGACTAGAAACAACTACATGTTTAGTTAAATAATGTATTCTTGTATAACTTCTCATCATCACTTATTTTGATCATCAAAATGTAAGAATAAATAATACTTTGTAATAAACATATATCACTCCTCCCCTTCACTTTCCTCCGAAATCCAAGAACAAAACAATCCACTGAAGTCCAAATATCCAATACCATTCTAATATCCTACTCACCTGTAAATGTAGTCCAGCTGTCCTTCTTCAACAGCAAGCTCTGAATTCTTCTGCCCCGACAGTATAATTACTGTCTTAAATATCCTTCCATACAGCAATCTCCATTCCAAAGCAGTACGTTCAACAGGCCCGCTACAAAACATTATAAGCACAATATTTCCAAAGTTCTTCCTCCACTTAATCAAGTTTCCAATTTCATAATTCACAGTCCCAATTTCCTCAACTCCAAGATGAACAGATGGCAACTTTTGAGGAACAAATTCTTTCTTGTCGCCGTGGCCAATATTTGCCCTTGGTCGGTCCAATTCAAGAGACATCAGTCGAGGCTGCTGGTAACCAATAGCGAGCAAATCTTGAAGCCAAGCAGCAGTGAACTCCAAGTCTCTCTCTGTCCAAAACCCTTCTTCAGTCATTGCATAACTCAACTCCAGAATCTTCTCAAATAAACCATTCTTATGTGATCTCCAAGATATTAAGAACTTAATTAGTTTACCCACGTTCACATGTAGATCTTTCTCTTCCGAGAAAGGGTACGCCTCTATTCTATCATATCTGTATATTGTGGGAGGGTATACCACAACATACCCACCAATTTCCCACAACATTCTTTGTGCCCAATACCCTCTTAACACGTCAGAAGCCATGCTACTGACTGAAACTGGCAACATCAAACCCCAAAATGCTGATGATTGAAAAATGGTATTGAAAGAGTTAACTGGAACCATTATACCTTGAGGTAATGCCAGTTTAGGAGCATGGTCGTCAAACCTAATATCAAAAGGTTCCAGTCCTGACTTCCGAGTGAAATAGAAAATCGAATCCACATCAGGTAAACCGTTTGAAATTCCCTGCTGAATGAACTGTCTCCCACTAAATACCTCAGTGTAGAACTTCTCATCCCCGATATCACCAACATTCTCCAGGGGCAAACCTCTTGGCCAAACAGACCTTTGTCCAAAATGTATATAAGGGTTGACAACAGTTCTATTGGGATTGTCATGACTATATTGCAAAATGACCTCTTGCCTTGAAGCCTCCCCAACCAATTCAACATCAAAGTGTTTACCGATATCATTATCGACCACATCAGTGCGATCATCAACATCGAATATCTTTTTAGCACCATGCTGTATGGCAAACAAATACCCAACAGTTTTTCTAACATAGGAATCATAAGGGAGAAAATCCACTACTCTAAACCCCAACTGAGCTTGCATCTCCAGAGACAAGTAAATTGCACCCTTAAGGCTCCAGTCTTTAGGGGTCTTTGAATTCCCCACAGCTAAGACTTGCCAACCTTTTAGCCTTACGAGCTTCTCCAGTGAATCGGAAGGATAATGTGACACAGAGACAACGATCCACTTCTCTGACTGGAAATTCGAGAAGGGAGAAGAGTTATCTCGGATAGCAGGGATGTTCTTCCAGTTAATTTTAGGCAACTCGGTTTTAATGGATTTGGTCTGGACGGTCTGCATACAGAGCAGGGTAGAAGTGACATCGGCGAAATTGCGGAGGTAAAAGAGGCCAACGACGGTGAGAATGAGGAGGGAAAAAGAGAGGATTTTATACAGATTCTCGGAAGCCCACACCGAGAAATCGAGGTTCTTGGTTTCAGCAAAGCGAGTTCGGGGCAATGAAGCAGCTTTATCTCTGATAAATCTCGACTGCCGGGGAGATTCCGGCGGCGAAGAGTTCCGATCTTGAACCAACATTTCGGCGGATTCTTCACCCGTCCGTGGCTTAGTTTCTGAAAATTTCAAGTCTTGGATTCTTCACTTCGTCATTGACTTGCGTTGAGCTCAATCATTTTCTTTGTTCTCTCTGACAAAAAGACGAACACCTGAAGTGTGTGGTTCGTGGAGCTACCGACAAGTTAGATGAGTGAATGAATTGAGTATTGTTTGGTGAAGACGCGAGCGAGGAAAGGTTTCCGTATTCTTGAATCCAACTTCAGCCAGCGCGCATATGCATTTGGTGCGGGTTTGGGAATTACGTTTCGATCTGAATCGGGAGTAATGTCCTTTTCTTGGTTACTCACTTTCAACTCGGTTTTATTTTACTCCGAGTAGTAATGCTTACTGTTGGGTTTGTTATGATATGAGAATAATTGGTGTCTTCTTCTTATAGGCAGAGGAATAGACATATTAACTACAACTACATATATTGTCTACAAGTTAATTGACAACTAAGATGTCTGTATTAATAATTTCATCTACAATTGCGTGAATCAATTTTTAGTATAATTGTGTGAATCGTTATTTTCTTTAATATTAAGTTTATTAACAAATGTATTATTTAAAATAAGATAAATGTTTGCTAATAAAAATGAGTAACCGGAGTAAGTTATAAAGTTTTTTTGAAGGAAAATTATAAAGTTAATGAGTAGAAAATAATGATTACCAAATTATCATTATATGTGCCAAATATGATATTGTGGAACTACAAGTGAAGCTATGAATTCATTTTGATTGAGATTTCTTTATTTGTTTGATCTGTTTAAATTTGATGTGATTTAGTACGAAAGAGTCTGATAAATGTATATATGTTTTATGTCTATATAATATGATATAATCTGTCTAATCTAATTTGAGATTGAAAACATTCATTTACACAAAAGTAGGATTTAGTTCCATATGTGTCGTGCATTTTTATTTTTATATATGGCTTAGAATTTACTTTCATATATGCCATGCATTTTTTATTTGTATATGATGTCAGGATGTGACAATGAAATGAGGTTAGTTTGATAGTGTAATCTATTAAGGAGGTTGAAGCTTAGCTTTTGTTGTTGATAAATCCCATTAGTGCCTAATTAATTGATTAATATCCTAAATGGACATCTCTATTAGACTGATAAGCTCACCTACCATGTGTTCTTTGGTGGGAAATCTCTATATACTCTGTATATTGCTATTGAAGTATTAGTCCCATTAGACATATACCCAAAAAAATGTATAGAAGTTTACTCAAAAAATAGTCGGTTCAAGTGGTTCAACCATCAATGCATATAATGGATAATACATTAATATTTGCTAAACAGTTTGATTTTGTTACTAAAAACAAAAGAAAAATATATATATATATGAGATTTTTGTTATTGCAAAAACTCTAAAGACCGGTTTATTGAGACTAAAATTTATTAATCAAACTATAAAATCGCGTGTACCTTTTTACAATCAAATGAGTGACTTTTGTCAGCTACATGGCATTTACCAAGTGTTCATTCCCGGTCATTTCTTCCAGCTTTCCTTTTTGGATCGTCTCAATTAATTCTTCCAACTTTCACTTTTGGAAAAAATATGTGATTCACATTCATTCACTTTTTTCTTACACGACTACAATCATACATTTTCACTTTATTCCTACTACCTAAATTTGCGATACTGATCAAAATCGGAAGAAATGACCGGGACGGAGGGAGTAATTCTTAAGCATGCATTTGTCAGCTACATGGCCCGTTTCAACTACTACCACTACAAAAAAATTCGCTTGTAGTCACGGACGTAGTCACGGACCGTAGTGTAAAAAGTCCGTGACTAACACTTTTAGTCACGGACTTCGTCCGTGACTAGTTCAGTGACTAGTTCTGCGTGACTAGAATGTAGTCACGGACCAGTGGCCGTGACTAGGTGTAGTCACGGATTAGTCACGGATCGACGTCCGTGACTACATCTTGACCGGAATAAGCCTCCGGCACGTTAGTCACGGACCATATCCGTGACTACTTTTAATTTAATTTTTTTTTGAATTAGTCACGGACACGAGCCGTGACTAAGTTCAATTTAATTTTTTTTTTTTTTTGTGGTAGTCACGGACGTATCCGTGACTATATTAAATCTAAAAAAAATTGAATTTATTCCGGATAAAATTTAGTCACGGATCTGGTCCGTGACTAATGTTTTTGATTATAAAAAAACAATTTTATATAAAAAAATAAAAAAAAACGAAAATTGAATTTATTCCGGATTAAAAAGTAGTCACGGATTAAGTCCGTGACTAATGTTTTTGATTTAAAAAAAACAATTTTTTATAAAAAATAAAAAATTATTTTATTTTAATTTTAGAGCAATTACAATAAAAATAAATTCCAAACGCTATTAAAAATAAAAATGTTATTACAGACAGAATTATAAAAACAAAATCAATACAATGTCAAACAATATAATGTAATTACATGCCCGTACGTCGGACTCCATTGTGATAATAATTAGAATCATCGTAATCGTATTCATCATCATTATCATCATAATGACGATGATGATCCTCTTCTGCATCCACGGGGTCCAAGGGTCGGGAACTTCCTCGGCTGCCTCGGTTGCCTCCTCGATTGCCTCCTAGGTTGCTTCCTCGGTGGCTTCCTCGGTGACTTCCTCGGTGACTTCCTCGACTGCCTCCTCCCGATGACTGAAACTGATTGAGCATATCAGGCGACAGAGATCCAAATGTAGACCCTATTGCAGGCATGGCACCATAACCGGAGTTAGAGTGATAACCCATACCACCCATGTGCGGAACCTGAGGAGTCTGCTCAACGTGCATAATGTACGGTCGAGGATGAGGTTGAGGTGGAGGCTGATATCCAGCAAGGATCCGTTCCATCGCTTCCAGTCGGGCCCTCGTTTCTTCATCATTCTTTCGTTGTTGTTCAAATGCACGCTGCTCCTCCTCCAATTCTCGCTGCAATTGGGCAATGCGTGGATCCTCTCCTCGTCTAGATTGAGAAGATGATGAAGCTCCGATGCCGCTGCGATCGTACAAAATACGTTGCCCCTCAGCCCCGAGGCATGGAAGTCGACCCTTGTACACCCCTGTTGCCTCAAGGATGGCATCATCTTCCACATCAGAACCGATGTCATCTTCTTGAGTCAAGCCAAGTTCCGCCCGCTTCTTTTCAACATTTGCGTTATACTTTGTCTACAAACATTTAAAAAAATTATTCAATGATATTTACTTCAATTTGAAATAATAGTATTGATTTTGAAATAATAGTATTGATGTTACATACTTCGATTTCAGCAAGGCGGGGTGGTAGATTGGCTGGCGACTCAACACCGCTCTTCGTCCAACAATGTTTGATTACACTGAGGATAGGGACCCTCTTCTTTTGAGGCCCCGCCTACAAGGTTAGAAAAAGGTTTAAATAAATTTAAAAAAATAAAAGATTAAAATGGTGTAGGTTTATTTGAATAATTCCCTAAAATTCCCTTAAAATTAACTAATTCCCGTAAATTTCACTAAATTTCAATAAAATTCCCTTAAAATTAACTAATTCCCTAAAATTCCCTTAAAATTAAATAATTCCCTTAAAATTAACTAATTCCCTTAAAATTAACTAGTTTCCTTAAATTTCACTAAAATTCACTAAAATTCCCTTAAAATTAACTAATTCCCTAAAATTAACTAATTCCCTTAAATTTCACTAAATTTCACTAAAATTTCCTTAAAATTAACTAATTCCCTAAAATTCCCTTAAAATTAACTAATTCCCTAAAATTAACTAACTCCCTTAAAATTAACTAGTTTCCTTAAATTTCACTAAAATTCACTTAAAATTAACTAATTCCCTAAAATTCCCTTAAAATTAACTACTTTCCTTAAATTTCACTAAAATTCACTTAAAATTAACTAATTCCCAAAAGTTCCCTTAAAATTAACTAATTCCCTTAAAATTAACTAATTGCCTAAAATTTCACTAAAATTCACTAAAATTCACTAAAATCCCATTAAAATTAACTAACGTCTAATAATTAATATTATTAAACTATAAACATGCACAATACGTTAATGACATTAATTTAATCCACAATACTAAAATTATCAACATCTTAATCTTATTAATAATGCACATTTAACAATTTACGTACTAAATTAAATAATATGAGCAAATTCAATAATTTGAGCATATATATATAATAAACACATTTAAATTAAATTAACTAACCCTAATTTAAATCATTATTAATCCTAAATTAGGCCGCCTTAATTAACAATAATTGCCAATATAAAGAAATCATATACTTATATTTAATCATATATATATATATATATATATATATATATATATATATATATATATATATAAAGTCATTTGAATTAAATAATACTTACATTTATTAACTAATATTAATAATATGCATTTAAATTATATTTAATCATATATACTTACATACGTATTTAACTCATTTACGTAATTTTAATCCTATATTTTAAAATTAATAACATATGTATTGCCAATATTATATTTAATAATATATATACTTACATATGTATTTATTAACAAATTTACATATTTAACTAATTTACAAAAAATACGTAATTCAAATTACATACCTTATCTGCAAAAACAGGAAAAATGATATGAGATGGGTAGATTACATCCTTCAATTCTATCTGGAATTCTATTTGGAGTACGTAGAAGGTGTGATTTTGTTGAAGGAAGCCGAGGCTGCATATATAAATTTTGTAGTCACGGACGTAGTCACTGATGTGTCCGTGACTACTTGTTTTTGTACGAATTGTCGGTGCACTTTAAATTTGGAGCGTTGAAAAAATCAATTTTGCACTTGTCACGGATGTAGTCACGGACACGTCCGTGACTAACTGTAGTCACGGTACTAGTCACGGATTTGTCCGTGACTAATGTCAAATTTAAAAAAAAATCCCGCCGGAGGCGAAAATGGGTTGGCCGGAACACTTTAGTCAGAGACTAGGTCCGTCACTACCTCTAGTCACGGACGTAGTCACGGACAAATCCGTGACTACTTTTTTTTAACGATTCCGTGACTACACCGTGATTAGAACCGTGACTACGGTCCGTGACTACAACGTATAATTTATCTTCACCTGCTTTCTTTGTTTAAGGTATGTATTCAATTGCTTTTGGCTTATAAATTGTTTGTGTATGTATTGTTAGTGTTCGATTTCTTCCGCACCAAGTGTTGTGTTTTTATATGAGCTCATACGCCTAAAAAAATGTTCGATTAAAATCCTTATAATAAATATATTTTATACATATATAAATATAAGTACTAAAGTTTTATCAAAGGCTATTTAACAAAAAAAAAGTTTTAACAAAGGGCGAAAATATAAAAATCATTATAATAAATACTACGCATATTTTATTCTATTAATAATGTTATGTCCTATAATGTAATTTCACATTATTCCTGCACTTTTTCAGCTCTTTTTGCCAAACGAGTCTATTCCATTCAACTAGCGGTTGAGATTCAACACTTCAAAGTTCAGTTCCAGACAATAGTCTTTATTCAGACAATAGCCCATATTTCAGACATTAGCCTACAGCTTCAACTCGTTGTGCCAAACATAGCCTAAGAGTGATTTAAGTTGACCATGTGAAAAGTAAATTAGAACTTCATTTCGGAACAGTATCCTGACGTATTATATACTTTGTACTCGACCTCTACTCAAACTTAATTACTTATATTAAATTTGAGAGTTGTACATAGTTTCACTAAAAATTTGTGTTTGTCACTATTTGACCAAAATACACTGTCTAAACCAATAAATGTGTATAAATGAATCAAAATATGCGCCATTTTTGCATCATTCTCAGTCGTATTCATATATTAGCATGGACAAGTGTAAAAGAGGAGGGCAGTCGGTGTTCGAGTCTCTACCATCCCAATGGAGTGCACATCATATGATTTATCAGATACTTCCCTGTATAATAAGCTGGTTTTTAGAATCAACAACCTGGCCCGGGGACCACCTTGCCTGCAGAGGAATGGCTCCATTCATTATGTGCCAAACACCCTCTGATTTTTAATGGCTTATACAGTTACATACATGCTGGTCTCGCCCATCTTCCATGACCATGCTCCTCCCTTATCTCTGAAGTTAAATATCAAGATATGTATGCATTTTTTCATAAATTCAAAATAACTCATATTTCAATAAATATCAAGTTTCTAACTTTCCATAACACTATTCTTACAATCAACTTAATTATTGAATCATTAATACTCTGTAACAAGTAGGAATTGAATCCTCAACAGATGACTATATACTGTCTGTATTGCAAGCCTGACTGAAACGCAGTCGATTAAAGCAGCAAAGTCTACCCAATGAACAATTTGAAATTTCATTAATTTATAAGTTAATGACAGGATAAGGCCGTCAAATTCTTGTTACAAGAACAGGCAATCGGGATGAAATTCATATACTGCACAATTGCGCATCTTTGAAACTGAATCAACCCCCCAATAAAGAATTGCAGAGATGTTTTTTACATTGTACCAAGTCTCAAAAAATAAAAGCCAATGTCCTACACTTTGGAAGTCCCTCCATGTTCCCTCTCAACGTGTTCAACAAGCGCTACAGGATCACGAAAACCTTTGCTACATCTCGGGCAGACATCAATTGTTGTATTCATCACCCCATTCTTTTCATGGACCTTCTGTACATGGTCTACTAGAGCTTTACCGGCAGAAAATCTTAGATTGCATAGCGGGCATTGCTCTACTCTGCTTTTGCTTTGGCCACTTCCGTTTCCTCTGCCAATATGTAATTCATTGCTCAATTTTGTCAAACCAGAAGTTGCGGCGCGGAGTAGGCTCGTGGTCCATCTAGATGATGAAGATGGGCCATGAACCGGTTCCTCCTTTTTACTACTGAAAAGCCCCATTAGTGGGAAAGCCGTTTCGGGCTTCTTCATAGGACCGGGACATGTGTGATCAGGTCCAAGTCGGTGCTTCAAACAATGGTCAACCTTACAATCTCGACATTTGACTGTGTTTGAGAATGTAAGTACCTCTCTGCAGCGAGGCACAGGGCATTTCCTCTTTTTGGTGGCTTTTTCGTAGTTTGAAGGGTCGCATTCCACATTTACATGCGACTCCCAAGTTATGTTTGGGTCTTCATCGGGTATTAGGCGGACCCCTTTAGCACATAACGGACAGATAACTACAGTCACATCATGCTTGTTGCCTTTTGGGCAATGGTGTCTAGCATAGCTACGATGCTCTAAGCAGAAGACCTGTCAGCTATAAAAATTAAACATCTGAATTGAATAATTACAAGTTTAAAACAAATAAAAAAACCACCAAAGCAAAAAGCCTTTGGGGTTTGGATTGAGGGTTTCAGAGAGGTAGGCTTTGGAGGGCTAAGTCTACATTTTGATAAATAAAATATTTCGAAAACCGAAAAAAGGTAATTGAAAAGATATACTATCAAGATATTACAGAGTAATATTTAGGGGAAAATAATTAAAATACCCCAAACTTTGAAGGGGTGTGAGATAAACACCCCGAACTTTCATATGTAATTTAAATACCCCAAACTTTATATAAAAAGTTATTTTAACACCATAGTTATGTATTATTTCTTTCAAAAATGTAAATTTATGGTGTTAAATGCACAATTTAAAATAGCAAATTGAAAACATTAGAATTATATATAGTGGTGGGTAATACTATTTATTTTACAATGGAAGCTTAGAATGTTAATTGTATCTTTATGAATGCTAAAAATTATCAAACTATGAAATAAACACCAAAAATTACTCCCTCCGTCCCTCTTATATTGTCCCATTTTACTTTTTCGGGAAGTCCCACTAAAATTGTCTCATACCATATTTGGTAAAGTTTGTGTGGTTCTTAATCATTCTTACTTTATTCTTACTTTATCAATTAATATCAACCATACAACCCCACTTTTCTTAATAATCGTGTCACTCTCCTCCGACCCAATATAATAGGGACGGAGGTAGTAATATTTTTGAAAGAAATAATACATGACTATGATGCTAAAATAACTTTTTATATAAAGTTTGGGGTATTTAAATTACATATGCAAGTTTGGGGTGTTTATCTCACACCCCATCAAAGTTTAGAGTATTTTAATTATTTTTCCCTAATATTTATCATCTTTCATTTTTTATAAAATCTTAAACACATATCAAGATATAGACCAAGTCCTTCAAAGCTAAGTAGCACGGAAACGCGAAAGGAAAAACATGGAAAGGGAAACACAAGAAAGTGATTTTTAAAAAATATAGTATACGAAACATGGGGGAACCGAGTACATATTTAAAAAAATATATATTTTTTTTACATATTTTTTCATATATGTGCACATGTTTTTTCATTCATATATATGCACATAATGTTTTTCATATAACTTATCTAATAATCCAATAATAAAAACATTTCACATGTTCAAATTTAGAAATCATTATATATTACTCCGTAGTACATAATTAAACACAAAATGCATTACATTTCTAGCAATGCATTGCGTATGATGCTATGAAGATTTAAACCACAAAAAATCATCAAGTGTTTTTAAAAAAGGCATTATATCCGATCACAGAAGCTCATAAAAGAAGAAAAAATGGAAACCCAAGGTTTCGAAAAACGCTGACTATTTAGGGATTAGATTTCCTAATTCTTCTTAATTAGAAAAACGGCCCCGAAACAGGAATTTGAAGTTTCCGAGTTTCCAACATGCTTCTAAGTTTCTCAAAAGGGGAAACGTGATCCGCGTGGAGTTTCCGTGCTCCATAGCTTCAACGTCTTCCCTTCCAAAACCTTCCAACCAACCAAACAAGCCCTTGGAAGTGTTTAACATAATCCTTCCCGCGAATAACATTCACTCTCCATTGTGCAATGCATAGTAGTCGATGGCGCAATATGGCGTGCGCGCCATGTGGCGCGAAAAACCCTCTGCGCTATGAAAAGGGGCTGTGGGGTACACTCTTATGTTTTAGAGGAGAATATGTTTTATTCTTATTTTCTCAATGGGGTACACTCTTCATCAACATTAGGGCATATCGAGTTTTTTTGGAATTCTAGCAGCATATAACTAAAAATTGTTTCATGATCTCTCTGTTCCTTAGATCCTTCAAGATGTAACTTTTTATTCAAGAATTAGTTATCCCTCCTATTTTAGACACGCTTAAATATAGGAGATAATCAAAAGAATACAAGCAACTCCAGTAAGATCATAAGATGTAACGACAGCAAAAACATCAACACAATTAGAGGTTAGACTCTCAAACCTCTACGAAATCAAAATAGTGACACGAAATATAATAAACTTTTACATCAACGCAACACATTATAAAAAAACTAACGAATGATTTGATTCGGTTCAGAAACTCAAAAACAAGAGAATGATGGACAACAAATTGCAAAATAATATATCATAAAGGATATAAGTGGTTGGAGCGTAAACGTATAGAGAAAGATAGAGGTGAACCTTGTGGCAGCAATCGCAGGTGAATGGCAAGAAATCGATCTGCCGGCAATCGCTGACGGAGCAATGCTCTCCGAGATTTGGAAATGCAGGTGTCCCCATTTACGTGATCTTCTGAAAATGTATAGATTCTATCGACCTGGATTCCAGCCTCAAATGAGGGATAAATCTATGCGAAATCCAAGTCTTTATGTAATCTAAAATTGCTCGGATACGCGGAGGAGGGTTGAAGAAAATAATTCCGCATTCTCGGAAAGTAGATAACCCCGAGAAAAGGCGGAATCCGACGACTTCTAGATCTTCGTAATTTACGGTCAAAGGGGGAGATCAGGTTGATTTTTCAGCGTCGGGTGAGTGTCAATTTCGTCCGAACATTATCTTGACTTGTGACACCCAAGGAATGCCCCTATTTTGATATGGATTAAGATTGTTAATTTTTTTTACCGAGGTTTAAGATTGTTAACATTAATAGAAGGGAGATTTCAACAAATAGGACTTAATCATACTAATTTTCCAAAATTAAGACTATAGATTAGGGTAAGACTTAAGTACAGTAGCTTTGACCAAATTGTCCTCCCTATAAAAATTAAAAATAGAATACTCCTAATCGACATCACATTATCGAAGGACACTGCACTACACAGTCGCTGTCATGGCCACCGGCGACACACCAGCCGCCGCCGCAGCCAGTAACACCGCGCCCTCTAGTGCGGCTGCCTCTGCCGCCTATCTTCTCAGGCCTGACATCAGCCCGATGCACTTCCTCCAGTGAATCTTCCCCTGGCACCACCTCTGGCGAGATTGCTCCAGATTTCCGTCGTGACAGCCGCCTCAGGCCGCTCCACTTGCCGCTGCCGAACCGCGCCAGTCACCGCCGAATCGCGCCAGTCGCCGCCGCCGCCACGTTGCACCACAGCGCACTGGTTTCTGATGTCTTCTTCTTTATTTTCTGTCCGATTTCGATGGCGTCCACGAAGATTATAAAGGAAGAAGATGGTTTTGGCCTTAAATCGGCGGGATTTGGGGGCGATACGGGCGGCGGGGTGCGGACGGCCTTCAATCGGCGGTGGATGCTTCTGCAAAGCTTTTGAAGAAATCAGATCCAAAATCAAACTTGCAAACACTAGACAATACATAGACATTAAGTAGTCAGTAAACAGGCCATAATTTCGAATAATAACTCAATAGCAGACAATACATAGACAATAAGGGTAAAATTGGAAATTTAAAATCAAGTTTTCAAAACTAGAACTACATAGCTCTTACGGAAGGAAAAAACATGCGTATGTACTATTTTTATAAAAGTGCTTTGATTAGGTCCTACAAGGAGCAATTTTCTCTTAATAGGAATCGTAAATATTTAGAGATTTAGATAACAATATGTAAATAAAAAAATTTTGTGCAAGTGTGTGCTTATATTCCATTGGATAATGAGAGTGAGGATTTCAAAACATTAATGCACATATTATTTTTTGTTGTTTTGATTTTATATTTAGTACTATGGGTAGTATTATTTTTGTGTTATATATTCATGAACACCTCAATTGAAAAAAAAAGTCACAACAAGCACAATAATGTGCTAGATGACTAGATGTTATTCATATGCTTTAATTGAAAACTATGTGTGTTAGAATGATCTGACTTGAGCCGAGGTGTAGCTACGTCTGAGAATAGGGATGGACTGGGACAGGTCGACCTGACCCTCGACCAAGTCCAGTCTGGTACTGTGCAAGCCCGACTTGACCCGGTCAGCCGGTACCGGAACCGGGACTGAGGGCCCGAACCGGGGGAGATTGGAACGGGCTACAGGCTAATGAAATCGTGGACCGGCCCGGGCCCAATTTGTTTTTCCTTTGATTGTCTTCTAGGGGTGGGGCAGGATGGTTTGGGGGGGTTTGGGGGTGGGTAGAATAAATTCGAAAAGAGATTTAAAAAAAAAACAAAAAATTGGACGCGGCCCGGTACAAACACAGGTCGGTATCGAGCATGCATACCAATCCTGGACCGAGACTCGAGCCGACCCGGGCCCGGTCCACCCCTATGTGAGAAAGAGAGTGTCATAAGAGAGGTTTCAAGGTTCAACTCTATGTAAAGACTTGAACGGGAACTTCACTTTTGTAGTGGAGGCACAATGAACACTTTTATTTAACAAACACACATACCTCGGATGTGTATGGTTGTTAATTAAATAGTGGTCCAAAAAGCAAATGTGTAGGGTTGGTTGCATATTACATAATCTCATGCTCACAGTTCTATATTACTAAGCGCATGATACACGAGGTGTTTGGAATTGATTCTCGTTCTGATTCTTTTTTAAAGCAGGAGTAGAATCGGGATCATTTTTCAGAAGCTGGTCTCCCACAGCTTCTTAATAATCTCATTTCAGGACTAAATTAGAGCACCATAAGTACTTCTACATTTTCATCCAAACACTCCAACTTTTGCTTCTATTCCCCGAAGGAGTAGAAGCAGTTTTAACAATCAGATTCAAACACCCCCATTGTTCCCCTTTGTCATAAAATAGTCTCCACTTTCATTTTTGGGTTGTCACAAAAAATAATTCACATTTTCCCTTTTTGAAAAGATTTGTGTGGCTACCATTCATTTACTCTTTCTTTCTCAAACACAATCATATATTTCCAATTTATTTCTACTTTCTTAAACATCGATCCAAAGCAAAGTGGACATTGTATTATGGAACGAAGAGTAATATTCAAGATCTACATGCATTTAAATGTGAGTTTTATTGAGAACTATTTTTTACATTGAATGCAAGATTCTTTTTTATTGACCTCGACGAATATACAATACTTATCAAGTAGTTGTGATGTGGATTGCCCAGTAGTAACAAGTCAATGAGTCATATAGACTTGATTGATTGTGTGATGAGCCATTAGATGAATATTTTTTGGCAGAAGTTTTACAAATGCCGCATTTTTTGTTGATAATGTGTTGGAGGAGAAATGGTGTATAATTATATTTAAATGATGATACACAATATGCAATTTTGGTTTGATGCATGTAAAAAATTGAGATATACTCCATATTAAATGTTTCTGCAACAGTTTTCAATTATTCATTTCTTTTATTGACATTCTTATTTATGAAGTTCTTAATTGTTACATCGTCTTCCTTTAAAATTTTATCAAGTTTGACCGGCACGAGAATTAATAATGTAAAGGGAAAAGTACTAAAAAGATATTTGTGGTTGAACCTGTTTTCATATAGGGTCATGTGCTTCATTCTTTATCAAAGTGGTTCATGTGTTTGAATCTCGTTATCACAACGGGGTCACGCCGTTAAAAACGACTGAAAAAGACAGTTAAAAGCAACTCCAATTTTCAAAAGTGCCCGGGAAATTAAAATAAAAATACTGAAAGATGCGCCTCGTCAAGATTACCTCCAAACCAACTTCGCCTTTAGATTTTTCAGATCTGTTTGAATTATTTTTTAAAAAATGATTTCGCTAATATCACTTTTCCGTGGACTTTCCGGTGATAAGGGTGGCTGAAAACAAAAAAGAAAGATGACCTAACGGTCGTCTTATTGAGGCGCACCTTCCGGTATTTTTATTTTAATTTTCCGGGCACTTTTGAAAATTGGAGTTACTTTTAACGGTCCTTTTCAGACGTTTTTAACGGTGTGATCCTCTTATGATAACGAAATTCAAATACATGAAACACTTTTATAAAGAATGAAAAACATGTCTCTATCTAAAAATGGGCCCAAGCACGAGTATTTTTTCCGTACTTTTCCCTAAAGTAAATACTTTATGCACAAAAGAATTAATTGGAACCACATTATTTTAGTGGCAAATTTAGTGGAAGTGTCAAATTTAGTAAAGAGATGTTGATATCGGGGTCTTGTCTCAATTCCTCTGTCCCCATTCATGTTCCTAATTTCTACTTCCGTATTCCAATTACTGCTATAATCTATTGTTGTTTTTTACACCACCTGGTTCCTAATCCCGGATTTCGCGGTCTCTCTTCTCCACTAGCTGCGCACTTGGCTTGTTTCCGTCCTCAACACCACAATCATAGACGCCATGAATGCCTCAACCATCAAGCTCGACTCACCCGCAATCTCCCGGGCGGCAGTTTATTCACCACATCGGTATGTGGCTCGCAAATGTAGGGTTCAGCTCATGAAAATGGCCGCCCCTGCTTCTTCTTCCGTTACGTGCTCGGCCAAGCCAGCGTCAGCTGTGGTGGAACATGGTGGTGAAACCGAGTCCAGAACGAGTCGAATTGAGTCTCTCAGTCAGGTCTCGGGCGTCCTGGGTTGCCAGTGGGGCGATGAAGGCAAAGGCAAACTCGTTGACGTTTTAGCTAAGCATTTTGACGTCGTTGCTCGTTGTCAGGTATGTAGTTGCTACATCCGTGTGCCCGTAGTATATTCCGGTTTGGTGCCTTATGCGAAGCAATTTTTGAATACTGTATAGCTCGTATCTTGCTAGTTTTCTCTCCTGCGGCTTTAAAGCGCATGGTAAAGGGGAAATATATGAAATCAAGTTGCTTATAGTTCTTGGCCTCTATGCAGTGGATGACCTAGGGGCTTGGGGCACGGGACAGGCGACAACTTACAACAAAAACAACAATATCCATGCCTTATTCCCATAAGAGTTTAGGGATGCTAATAGGCACCTGATTAGGATTATGAAGGATAGAATTAGTACATAAGTGATCGATGGTTGTGCGCTTTTTATCAGGTGATGTTGAAACTAGGTGAAGCTACTACGCCTCTCTAGTAATGAACTACTTTAGGAATTTCTTTACTCCATCTGTCTGAAAATGAAATTCCAATATCCGCTTAGGATGCTTAACTTACAATGAAATAAACTCTTCTCTTAGACGGTGTAATATTAAAAATTTAAAACTAATATAAGTAAGTAAAACTTACATAATTAAGAAACTACACTAAGCAATATTGAATCGCAAAAATTGAATATTAAGATGGGTGGTGTTAACGGCAGGATTTGGGGATCAGGATTTCATTTTTTAAGGTGGTATTATTATATTTCAAGGCTTCAAGCTACTATGAACAAAATTTGTTGTTAACGTGAAGAATTGGATATAGTCTCCACTCTTCACCACAATTAGGGCCTTTGGTTTTTATAAACCAAAACATAACTGAAATTCTAGTCTAGATCTAAGACCAGTCGAGGGGTGGTCCAGTTGTAGTTAATGCATACATGGACCAGAATATGATCGTTCTGGTTTAAATTCAGTTTTTCTAATAAAAAGCCCAATATTACTATTTTAAACCTTCCAAAACGGGGTTGGGAAACAAATCCTCAACCTGCAACTCTCCATGACTAAAACTGACACCGGTTAATCCTGTTCTGATTCAGATTATTAAGTTTGGGTACCTAAACTAGAGGTTTTTCCTAAAATGTTACTAATAAAAAAGTCATGGACAAAAATGTGACTTAGTGACTTTTAGTGACTATAATTGTGCTCAAAGTTTACATCATAGTCACTACATCATAGTAACTTTGAACACAATGATAGTCACTAAAAGTTACCAAGTCACATTTTTGTCTATTACTTTTCCAGGAGTAATATTAGTGGGATTTTTTCCCTAAACTATCTGGACAAGAACCAGAGTACCAGACCTGACCCAGCCCGTGTCAATCTCACCTGCATGCCCTACCTTTAAAATCTGGGTCCATCACTCACAGCGAGGAGTTTAGTTGCACTTAGATAGCCCCTCTTTGGCTTATCGTCTGTAGCCTTTGTTTAACAAATACGGAGTATTAGTTTATTTGAATTCGACTGCAGAATTGGAAAGTAATGAAAAAGAACAGAAGGGATACATCTTTTTCCAAAGGTGATCGTTTTTGCATTTTTATTCATATATACTCTCTCTGATTTATCAATGATTTTTTTCACAATTGTACAATTTCAGCCACTCTATCAAAATCAGACCCAGTTTTATCAAGTTCCACAATTTCAATCAAATTACCCACAAATGGTTGATTTTGCTGAATATTTTGAAAGAGATAGTGTCGTGTAACATCCACATCATGTCACCCATCGTGTAACATCCACATCATATTCTACTTTTTTTTGCTGATGAGCATAATAGACCAAATAAAAATATCAAACGGAGCACATATAGTCAATTACCCTCTCCAGTAATTTACTAATTCTGCTGTCACAGTTCTCCCAGAGAACGTGGTTCTTTGTTTGGCAATACATTATCTGTCATGTCATATCTTCTTACTACTATAATTAATCTGCTTTCAGGGCGGTGCTAATGCTGGGCACACCATTTATAATTCAGAGGGAAAGAAGTTCGCACTCCACTTGGTACCTTCAGGGATTCTTAATGAGGAAACAGTTTGTGTTATTGGCAATGGAGTTGTGGTGCATCTTCCTAAGCTTTTTGAGGAAATCGATGGCCTTGAATCCAATGGAGTGTCATGTCAAAGAAGGATACTGGTGTCTGATCGAGCTCATCTTTTATTTGATTTTCATCAACAAGTTGATAAGCTTCGTGAAGTTGAACTAGCTAAATCTTTTATTGGCACCACATGGAGAGGAATTGGGCCTTGTTATTCAAGTAAGGTGATCAGAAATGGGATCAGAGTGTGTGATTTGAGGCACATGGACACTTTTCCCCAAAAGCTTGATCTATTACTATCAGATGCAGCATCAAGGTTTCCCGGTTTTGACTATAGTCCCGACATGCTCAAGAAGGAAGTGGAGGAGTACAAAAGATTTGCTGAAAGGTTGGAGCCCTTCATAACTGATACCGTTCATTTCATGGGTGAAACTATTTCTCAGAACAAGAAGGTTTTGGTGGAAGGCGGTCAGGCTACTATGTTGGACATAGATTTTGGAACATATCCCTTTGTGACTTCTTCAAGTCCAACTGCTGGTGGAATCTGCACAGGTTTAGGCATTGCTCCTCGACATGTTGGTGATCTTATAGGAGTGGTGAGTGAAATTTGCTAATTGATACCTAATTCTATTCTACAATTTTCCATTTTGTCTTCAATCAGTAGCCACCTGTGGCCCCGCCTTTTGGTTCCTGATTGTGAGTCTGTGACCTTTTCCACTTCCAGTGCACGAAAATTGATTTCTTACCACTTTTCGTCCTCAGGTTTCTTATTTAGTGAAAATCAGCCGGAAATGTAGGTCAATTTGCAGGATGAGTGTTCAGAGGAGCAAATGTGCCAAGAAATCCTTAGTTGTGCACCAGAAGTGGAAAGACGACCATAAAAGACCAAAAATGGAATGACCTAATAGTAGTGAGACCAGAAATGAAAACTTTTTTCCAATGATACAGTAGTATATTTAAATGAATCAAGATACTATTCTCTTCATGTCCAAATATGATTGAGACTCATTTTCATTTGTGTTATACTTGATAATGTCATGTAAATCATCATATTGATTTTAAATACTTGTTGATTATAAGCATTTGTAATATGGGATGCACTTTCTAAGAAACTTGAATTAGGAATTAATTAACTCGTGACTTCGTCTTGATGACAGCTCTTGCAGTTTTCTTCTTTGTTATCTATTAATCCATTGTGAATGTTGATGAAATGTTATATTTTCAGGTTAAAGCGTACACCACAAGGGTTGGTTCAGGTCCCTTCCCAACAGAAACCTTTGACAACAGCGGTGACATGCTTCGGTTTGTTGGGCAGGAATTCGGAACAACAACTGGCCGTCCTCGTCGCTGTGGCTGGCTTGACATAGTTGCATTGAAATACTGCTGCCAGATCAACGGCTTTTCGTCTCTGAACCTTACGAAACTTGACGTCTTGTCGGATTTATCAGAAATTCAGATTGGTGTTTCTTACAAACTCCCTGATGGTACACCAGTAACATCATTCCCTTCAGATCTTAGAGTCCTTGACCAAGTTACGGTAAGTATATTCTCTTTATTTGTTTCTATTGTTTTATTAGTATCCTTTTCGTTGTGCTTCTTGTTTCCAATTTGCCTGGACTGTGTTATTTCAATGTGGAGACTTTCATTATTAAGATATACAGATCTGGATGAGAAGGTTGCATCATAATTGGTAAAATGATGCAAAACTGTGAACTTTGTTGTTATCTCTGCATTTAATTCTCTTTCTTCCTCTTCTTGTCAGTCTGCTTTAGATTGTAATCTACACGCTTCCCTTTTTTGTACTCTAAAATTTCACGCATTTCCTTTTTAGAAAGCATTATGTGGTTCACATTACTTCTCTATCCTCTAAATAAATTTCGGCCGTGCTTTTTTCTTAATCTCTGTGCCCGGACAACTTGCATGTCTACTTAGGGAAGGTGGGAGTAATACTTTCCGATTATTACTTAGTTTTGAGTTTCTGGGTCCTCCATTCTCTACATGCTTTCAGATTAAGTTTGTGTTCGGGGGAGCAGTGGAAAGCCCGTGGTTTTGATGAGCGTTTACAAGTTTTTTAGAGATCTGAAGTCGTTACACATGATATTAATGTAAATGAGTAAAATGCTAAACTAAGTGTAGAATCCACCAAGAACATTTTAGCCAGTTCTAAAGATGTGCAATTATTACAAACATCAAACTAACCCTTTGATCAACCGCTCTTTTTCTTATCTTGCAACATTAAATGGACTTAATTACTCAAATGAATGCTAACACAATCAGTTAACTCAATTCATTGAAAGTTATATGTAAAAATAAAATAATGGAGATAATCTTAGCTAAGAAGAAGACTTTGATCCTTAATTCTCAACTTCTAAACTCTAAATGATGATAACAAAATAGTGATATGGTTAGGGTTGTAGGACTCTAAGATAGAGAGTGAAGTATGTAGAAAATGTCTAAGAGATAGAAATTTCTAGTCAAAAGTGTTCATCCATGCCAAACTGATGCCCTTGCACAGTGGTGGTCGTAACTGCCTAACTGGCCACCACTACAGCTATGGTTTGTAAAAAAAGCCATAGTGGCCTGTTGTGGCGGTGGTCTTACGTGGGGGTTGCCTTGTGGTTCTGTGTGGCCCAAAATGACAGCCTGTCTGGCGGATATGCCTGGGGTCATCCTCCATTTGCCAAAGAATGCCCTAATCCTCCTAAAGTATGTATTGCTAATTTGCTGTTCTGGTTGAACATGAAGTCTCGCAACACTCTAGCATAAAAATAACCACAATTAGCCCAAAACAATCACTCAAAAATCACCTGGAGCAAACAAAGTGGTTTAGTAGGTGTGTTTCACATGTTTAAGTAAGTGTGCTTTAGGTGATAGATGTAAATTATGCGTGATTCACATGTTTAAATAACAAAAAAATGTTGATTTACCAATTCCTTTGATGTGACATTTCCATCCAAAGCAAGAACTTTTGCAATCTTATAATCTCTTTCATTATGACAAAATCTGTTTGCTCTTCCCAACATGCCATATCACATGTGGTCCCAAACAAACACCAAGTGTGATTTGTTACCTAATTACGCTTTCTTTTTTTCTGGATTAATGTGGTTCGTACTGAGTAGTTAGCTGTGTTGACGTGCTTTGCAGGTGGAGTATGAAGTTTTACCTGGCTGGAAGTGTGATATATCTTCTATCCGGAAGTATTCTGATCTTCCCACAGCTGCACACCAATACATTAAAAGGATAGAAGAGCTTGTGGGTGTACCCATCCATTACATTGGTGTTGGGCCTGGACGAGATGCCCTCATATACAAGTAATTGAGAGTTCAATCTTTTTTGTCACTGAAGTCTTTTTTTATGGAGAGGAGTAGAGGACATCGCTTCCTTTAAGTCGATGAGGTGCCAAACACTTTTAATGACACCACAGTAGTGTAATGCACCTACAGAGAGATCTACTCATCAATTAGGATCTTAACATCTTCCTGTTGTTGTTGTTAGTTGTGGTTTTACAAGCTAAAAGTTATTAGATGGCGTTACTATTTGAAAACCTCGGGTGTTGTCCTCCTTCAATAAAGAAACTTAATTGATTTCCTTGACACTCGGATCCAAATAAGAAAATATTCTCTTCACTTAAAAATTGTTATAAAATCTGAATGTTTTAAGATTCGGTCTTGTGTAATTTTTTTGTTTGGACTAATCTAGGTTTAATGTTATTTTATTTGTTGTGGCCAGAACTTTTCATCTTTTCTAATTTTCTTGTCCAATACATAATCTGATCTGGTATTGGGGCAGGATGCCAGGAAACATTTCCCCACCGTTTTTTAAGTTCCAGATTGGAACGAGTCAAATAAGTTTCTCTAATCTATGACCGTATTTGACTGGTTCATGTTTTTGAAATAGACAAAATTTTTGGAATTGGAATTTGGAACTGATTTATCCGGTTAAGGTTTGGATTCCACCCTTACCTTAATCAGACTAAAAACCGGCTTCCGTAAATCTTGATCTGAATGGTTCTGACCAATGAATCTAGTTCATTGGATCCAATTTGATAAATAAAAGGGATGAAAGGAAAACCATCAAAGTGCAGAGACTGCAGTCCTTATATCAGTGTCATTACCTCAAACTCTCTAAGGGGGTATCAAGGAGATAGCTCAGAATGGTTCAAGTTTCACCAAGGTTAGCCATGTCCAAATAGCATTTTGAATAAACTGTACACATAAATACATAACAAGAGTTTGCCAAAATAACTAATATTGGCACTAAAAGAATATGGCTGCTACTTAGTAACATAAGAAGCAATGAGTTTTTTTATGTTACATACAAAAACTATCAGAGCTTTAGGTAAGCAAACAAAGACGGCACAAGATCTACGACAGCCCAAGCAAGGCCAGTATACTGAATCAGTCTTATGCTTGTATCTAAATCAAATGTATCTTGGTGAGAGAAGAAGAAGAGCTTTTGCACATAATAACCTCCTCCGCTGGCTGGAGGCTTCTTCACCAAATCATCCGACTTTTTGGAGATCACTGATGCAGAGAATCCAGGGATGTAACTGGTTGATTTCACGGGGAGGCTCACAGCATTGGCAAGCATGGGTAACATCCATTTTGCAAGAGCCTTGCTGCAGAACTTCACAATTAATATTGTCGGTATCCCTACAAGCATTCTTCCAACAAATGCAAGGACTGTAAGGTCGGGAGTAAAGACCCGAGGAACACCTTCGTGGTGAAACTGATTATATGTTTGCTGGATTCCCATTACCTGGAAAAAGAAATTAAAAGTATTTTCTTATTAAAAACCCATGAAGGTGTTTTTTCAAGCGATTCCAATAGTTCTAATGTACTCCTTGTGGTCATCTAGAAGTCTAAGTTCCACACTTGCACAAGATTATGGCCAAAACAGCACTTGCCCCACATTCCTATTATGGAAGTTTATTATTACTTGATTCAGTTTTCATTTTTAGCAACTTTTGTCACACTTTAATCTCTACTGGAAATAAACACATTTGCTTCTTCATTTTTGGCAACTTTTCCCAGACTTTAATCTCCACTGGACATTCACTTTTAAATTCCATGAAGACTGTATATGAAGAATGAGGGCTTCTTATTGAATATAGGTGAAATTCATAGGAATAATCCCAACTTTTAGGGATTCTACAATAATAATCACTACTTAGACAGTCTACAAAAATAATTTAAACTAGCAGAGGTGTTCATGGGAATAAATTGAGGTGAATTCAAATAATGTCCGTTTAATACTCTCAATCCTTATTCCCACTTTTCTCCTCTCGGCTCTTCTTTTCGGGACAAATTCAAACTAAACCCATTTAATATCAACATCATTTCCGCCATATGTGGTTCTCTCTAGCTTGAAACATAAAAGTGCAAATCGAGACGGAGAAAAGGGAATGGGAAAGTGGAGCCAGGAGTTGAGAGTATTAAATAGACATTAATTTGAATTCATTCTAATTTGGGAAAAATAATTAAAATACCCCAAACTTTGAAGGAGTGTGAGATAGACACTCCAAACATTCATATGTAATAATGTAATATTAATACCCCAAACTTTATATAAAAAATTATTTTAGCACCGTGGTCATATATTATTTCTTTCAAAAATGTAAATTTATGGTGTTAATTGTATAATTTAAAATAGAAAATTTAAAATGCTGCAATTATATAGAGTGGGGGTACTATTTTAATGAAAGTTTTGAATGTTAATTGTATCTTCATGAATGCTGACATATTTTAAATTATGAAACTAACACCAAATATTAACATTATTGAGAGAAATAATACATGACCATAGTGCTAAAATAACTTTCTATATAAAGTTTGGGGTATTTAAATTACATATGCAAATTTAGGGTGCTTACCTCACACCCATTCAAAGTTTGTGGTATTTTAATTATTTTCCCCTTCTAATTTATTTTTATGGATATTCTCATCAGGGATTATTATTGTAGAACTCATAAAAGTAGAGATTATTATTGTGAATTTCACCTTGAATATATTTATTGCATTGATGTATATTTTCATGTATTTCATCAAATGTAGAGTGGTTAGCAGTGCCATCATTATCAATAAAATATGTCAACTCCAAAGCCTAAATGTTGTCTTTATTATTCTATTTCTCCTGGGATCAATCATGTACATGTTGCAAGTTGCATCATGAACTCCAAAGAAAGAATGTTTTTGTCTTTATTAATATATATATTTCCTTGTACTGTAATTGCTTATTCACAACCCTTCTTAATGTCAAGGAATTATATGGTTATTATATCAATAGTGCAGTCTCACTTAGAGTTTGTTTGGAGGCGCTGAGCAGAAAAAACAAGCTGGAATTGAAAATTGAAAAAATAACAGATAGAAGCGAAGCATTAATAGCTGGTCTGGTTAGAAATTTAGTTTTTTTTTTGCGCAATTGGTTGTTGAGTAGCTAGGGCTATTATTATATGTTAGAAGATACTGGTATGATAAAATGACATACCTTACCCTAATAAAGGACTAATAAACAGAGTTTATTTTTGTAAAAAAATATGGGCTAATAGTGGGGGGAACTACTATCTTATTTATGCTATACTATCTTTTCAAATAGGATCTTACTTTAAACTCTGTTTTGTTCACAAAAACAAGACTGATGACTTATTTGGAGCTTAAAATAAGCTAAAGCTTCCGAACAGTCTCTACCAAAACACATTCATTTAGGGTGCGTTTGGAACTCAGAAAATGTTACTGAAATAAAACAGTGGTTTAAACTCAAAGATTTTATGTTTATTACTACCTCCGTCCCGGTGGACTTTGCCAAGTGCAAAGTAGGTGAAAAATAAGAAAAGCAAAAACTTTGTGGTTGAGATTTGTGCAGAGGAGAGAGAAATGTGTAGAACCACAAATTAGTTGCTTTAATTGGAAAGTGTCAAAGTTTTTTGGGACAACCAAAAAGGGAAAGTTGGCAAAATCCAATGGGACAGAGGGAGTATTAATTATAATGCATTTCCAACTTTTACATCTATTATATAAATACTAAGTAACCAAGCATTCCAGCCCAACTGTTTGTGAGGTTACCATGCCTAGTGGGAGGTCTCGACTTCGAAACCCGCTAGACACATAAGGCTTTGAAACTCAATGGAGTGAGTTTCAAACCTGATTACTCCAGCCCCCAGGCCCCCTCCCCCAGACCCCCCTGGAGTAAAAAAAACTTAAGAATTCTAAGCATGTGTAACAAATTTGGAAACATTAATCATATTTCGTTGGACTGCATTAGCTGATGTTAAATCACACAGAAGAAAATAACATCTCATACCCTTTTCTTTCATTTCCCTAACATTTCTCTGATCTAAACATAGCCTTGTGGAAAGTCAGAGGGAAGGGTACTTACTATTCCCAATGCAACACCATTGAAGGCTGTGTGATATTCAAAACTTGGTGTGGGGAGCTCCGGTGTTGGATAAGCAAAGAGGAATAAGAAGCTTAGTGCAGCCCAGAAGGACGTAACTGGAAAGGGATAGATATATTCATATTCAGCATTACAAAAAGAATATTAAGATCTTATTTATTACTCCGTATCAAAGTTCAGCCATTAATGTAAAGCTCTTCTATTGACACCCAGACATTACATATTCATAATTTGCCATGTCTAAGTCGCACTGGAAATTTACTCCCTAAATCCCCTCAACAAAGTCAGTTTAACTAATTTGACACATATTAAAGAGCCCTACAGAATGACCAACGAGTCAACGACCCTTATTTAAGTCCAGCTATTAATGCATTTTATTACCTACAAACATACTAAAGTATTAATTATGAGAAATAAAAATGTGAAAATGTTTGGAAGATAAAGGAAGATTATCTCTTCAATTCCTAAAGAGAGAATGAACAAGTATACCCTTAGGGTATGTTTGGGAGTTTGAAGGGAAGGGGAAGGTTTTGAAGGTTAGTCATTGGAAGAGAAGGGGAGGGAAAGGGGAGGAAACCCTCCTTGTTTGGGAGTAATAAATTTGAAAAGATAGAGGTTATGGATGAGTTATAATTAAAATCACTTCACATATATGATAAATTCAAAACGTTGAATTTATATTTATTTAAAATTGAACTAAAGTTGTCATTAAAAGTTGTTATTCTTCAAAATCCCCCAATTTGGGGAAACTTAAAAATTGAGCATTTGGAGGGTTTTGGAAGGTTACAAAAGCCCTCCAAAACCACCCCCATATTTTAAACTCCCAAACATGAATGGGAGGGTCATAAACCCTTGTTAACCTTTCCCTCCCCTCCAAAACCTAACTCCCAAACACACCCTTAAATTCTATGTTCAAGAACACATACACCCCTAAACTATTTTTTTGCAACAACTAAAAACAAAAATGGTAAAGAAAAAAAATTGGAAAAGGTATATCACTAGACTTCAGAGACCATATATACCTCTCATGTACTGGACCTAAGGGCAAAGTTTTTCCAACATTACATTTTTGTGCTCCAAATAAAGGTTGAATAATACATTTATTCTGTGAAGTATAATTTTAGGGCATATCGGTCCGTCTACCGCTTCCTTAACTAATGATTTTTCGGGCAAACTTTTGTGGCTAAAATGAAAATTATTTCAGGAAATAGAACATTACTATGTTCCTTTCTGGACTATCTCAATGCGCTCATGTCACCCCTCAGGCCCTCAAATGACTTAGTCTATCCTTTGTTAAAAAGAATACATGGAGATTTTGCAAACAATGAAAAAGTAAAAAATATGGGCGTATAACATTTCAATTAACCTTATATTCATGTAAAAAAATATCTACTTATTAATATATATACTGAGCTCTCCAGAGTCTCCCCCCCTCGAGAACCCATCATCTGAATACACCCAAAATCATTGGAGGGTTAGTTTGGCGGGAAAAGAATTACAATTACTGGATGATGATTGATGACAATAAGTGTACATACCGTTTTGTCCTGAGATTATGAAACGATCTATGTGATTGTGAACAGAAAGCCAAAATGTGAGGATCGCAAGACCAAAACATAGACCTCCAATGATGTCAATCAAGCTGTGCATCCCAAGGTAAATTCTCCCTGAAAAGAAAGCAAGTTTCAAATGGAGCTCTAAAGGCCATCTCTAAGCAAGAGAAAACAACTGTCTCAAAGTAATGTGACTTACCAAATCCAATCAAACCAACAAGCAAGCAAACAATGGAAACTCCTGCTATTTCCATGGAGATATCTTCATTCTCAGTATAGGATAACACATACTGTAAAAGGTACCTGAGTTTCCAAAGAAAGTACAAAAGAAAAGCAATAGACATACATTTAGAAAACAGATAGGTAGCATGACTCGAGCAATTAAAACTTTTATCCCTTTCTTCTGGAGGGAAAGCTAAATACATCTATAGGCAAAGACAGTTTCTTTGAGGTTTTCAATCTTCTAACTTACAGATATCAGCTTGTGAAATTTAGAGATATTCCCTATCTGCCCATGAGGAAAATAAATCTGTACCATTTATCCAGGCTATAGGTAGGTTGACACTATATATTCCCCAAATGACCACTTACAAGTTACATCTTGGGGATTTTGGAGAAGTTTTTTTTCCTAACCCCCCCCCCCCCCCCCCCTGACTTCATGTTTCAGAATTGCTTTACAGTATTACTTTTAAACACATAAATTAATGTATTTTCATTTGAAAACAAATATTACATCAAGTATAACAGTTTTACTTATTTTTCTAAAACCCTAATTCCTCCTCAAGAAGGGGAGCCTTGCCGCACTGGTTACCGTGACTGAGAGGTCACTGATTCATTCAAGTCTTGGGAGCGGCCTCTTGTCAAAATGACAAGGGAAGGCTTGCCCCTTATACACCCTTGTGGTGGACCCTTCCCCGGACCCTCACCTTGCGGGGACACCCATGTGCACTGGGCAGCCTTTTTTTAACTAATTCCTCCTCACGCCACATGGGTACATGCTTACAAAAAGAACAAACAGGTGTGCACTGATAAGAAAATTAGACAACTTAATACCCGGCCAAGCAGACAGTATTAAGGGTATGTGAAGAAGGAAGTCCGTATTCCAATGCATTTTCTTTCTCGTCTTTGGTGGCTGTTATTCTCCTAACAGGTGGTGAACTTGGTCTAGGGGCTGAGACTACATCCTGCAATATGCGAACAAAAAGGCATTCAATCATACAGCAGAACTGCAGAAGAAGCATCATAGTTAACACCTGAGAGATGTTAAAAGAGGAGGAAAAGACCTTAATACAGTTTCCCATATAATCACAGAAAGCCATGAGAAGGGTCATCTGCCGAGCCAACTTAGAATGCCCAGTCTGCATAAAATAAAAAAATATAGTTCAATTCATGATTCTACTTTAATTATTGGAAATTTCACAGAATAGAATAGAAGGAAAAACAACTTAGTTTCCTAAGTAGGAATAATATGTTATTTCCTGAACTGGAAGTAAAGTTAAATTCATCTTGAAATCATGCTGATATTATAAGGCATTAATATGATGGTATCAATGCCATAATATGGCAGTTATTTTTAAAATGACATTAACTATTCCTATTTAGGGGAAACTTAGTACTCATTTATTTAGGCCAGGTTCTTTTATTATTTAGAACAATAAAATACAAGAGAGGAAGATATAAAAATTACCCAGAAGAGAAAGGGAAGAAAGGCAGTGTAGAAAGGCACAGAAACGATACAAGACAGCCCAGAAAAGAAAGCATCCAGATACCAACTCTGATATTTCTACAGCATAAAAACGCAAAAGGGAAACATCAAAAGCAGATCAAAATTAGATTAACACAGAAAGACAGACAAAGCGCAGTAATGCAGAGTAGCATTGATGAAGTCCTTAAGGTTTTAACACATGTATGATCAAATACAACAGGAAAGGAAGAAGACCCAAGGTTGAATTGATGAAAACCTGGATCTTTAAAGCAATGGGGGTGCCAGAAATGACTTGGCGAGAAACCCAAGGTTGAGTGAGACATCTAATCAACTGGGTAACGTTAAGAATGGAAGAAATCACCACCCACGAGGCTAATCCGCCCAGAAACAGCCCTTGCCACCCACCTACGCTCTCCATTTCCGACGACTGAGATTTGAGAGGTAGACGGAGACTTCAAATATTCTTTTACAGGGCTTCTCCGAATACCTAAGTGAATCAAATTCAAATACCGGAGATGGAATCCATGGGCAAAAGGAGATGAATGACGTTGGCCGGCGATGCTCTTTTCGCCTTCCTCCTCTTCTTCTTCTTCAGTATTTCTCCTTTTATTTCGGGCAGGATTCAGGATCATTATTTTTACGTGGACCCCATCCTTGGCTGGCTGAGGAAAGTCTATTTCCAGTTTACAGAACATTCCGCTCACAAATTTCTTTCTTTCTAACTATCGGCTTCTCAAAGTTGACCAGTTGCCACAGCGTCTACCCTGTATGCATTCATGGCCGAATGGGGAAAACTTTTTTTAGCTTATTTTTATTTATAAATATTTATAATTTGTGAAAAATATGTGTATGCCCTCGCCTCTATAATATTATATTTCACTCGCTCATTAGTCATAATCACACAATTTATTGAACCATTCTTGATGTGCACTCATTTGGCGTACACTCTCTTAGATTCTTACTAATTGCATTATTTATTATGAATTGTCTCGATAAACTCACAATAATAAGGGATGTACAAATGATGTACCTCAAAAGGGTGTACCTCATTGTACCATTAGATAATTCCTAATTTATTATTGTTCAAAAGATAGACATATCTATAACACTTCATCAATTCCATGTTAACCCGTTTGTTAGAGCATATTAATGTTCTAAATTTGTTTGGTTTAAAAATGTTACTATTCTCCTATTTGATATTTGCAATGCTTCTATTTCTTGTCTGTATTTAAATAGATGTAACATTTTTTATTTCTAATGAATTTTTCACATAAAATATCTAACTTTCCTTACATTTTCATCTTTATTTTTCATATCCCTCTTTTATATATGATTGAGTGAATTTTTTCTGCACAATAGATTACCCCTCTCGCATTTGACCCTTAAACTTTGTGTGAAAGAAAATATAATGTTACAAACATTAAAATATGCATAAGATATTATTTTCCGTTTATTAAAAACTATACTGAGAATATAATTCATATTGTTCTCCCGTTAGTAAATCTGAGTGACATAATTTTTACTCTCTTACAAGTCAAATGTAAAAAACCTACAGAGAGGGCAAATGTTAGCACAAAAATTTGTGTTTTACTTGTCTACAAATTTAAAAGAGAAAATATATTGACTACAAACCTGCTTGAGGTAATTGTCATGTTTTTTATTGACTATTTAAAATTAGCGATAGTTGAACTATTATATACTACGTAATTATATTCGTAACTTTTACCATTCATCTTTTCTTCTTCTTTTATTTTAATAGAGGGTGTAGTACGATCCAATAAGATGGGGAAAAGCATTCATATTATTTTTTGCAAAATAAGTTCAATTAACAGCTTAAAAAATGGGTCAAATGTGCTATAATTTCGGTAACTCTTTTGGTGAAGTGATCTAAATGTTGGTTTAGGGATCAAACCAAATATATTTTGCGTGTATTATAGTTTTTTTGAAAGGAAAATTAGCAATATTATATTAAATCAAAACTCACGGTACAATCAGGAGAAATTGCAAATAATAAACATAACCACCAGACATTATTCTTCCTCTAAACAAACATAACCCGGCCATCTCACTTCTTTATCAGACATAGAGTAGTCCACTCCAAAAAGAGCGAAACTAATCGCTGAAAATGTTAGAGCTTTGAGATTATCAGCGGCTGAATCAGCCTTATTGCCCCTCGACAAAAGTCTAACCACTAAGGTAACCAAAACTAAGAAACTACCACCCTTATTATTTGACCTAATGACCACAAAATAAATTTTAGCAAACAAAACATAGAAAAATAAATAAATTTCAGCTGCATCGCCGCCTTCCAAGCCCTAGTTGCGTAATTCCTCTGTGGCGGCGATTCAGGAGGGGGACGAATCATCCACACACCATCTTCTTCCTCCACCACTTGAGGTGGCCATAACAACCACGCCGACCCCCAACGGTTGCTTCGAGTCCAAATTCACCCCCTCTAATCGAGATCCATACCGCTAGCGTTCCACCCGGATCAAACACACTTTGTGCAACTCCCATCTCAGTCACCATCAGAGCCAAAATAGCCAAGCCAGCCATCGGAAGCTAGGGTCTTGCAGCCCTAGCTGCCGCAGCTCCACGGTCGCCTTTCGCGACCCAGCTGGACATCCTCTGCCTATCCCTAAGCCTCTGTTGGGGAACTCCAAAGCTACGCGTCGAGACCACCGAACTCGGACCCTTCAGCACTCCAATCTACAAACTGACAAAAACTAGCAAATCTTGGGACTCCAAAGCGTCAATAAGGATCAACGCCACCCGCTCAAACGCCTATCCTAGATTAGGGAATCGCCTTGCGCTGTCGACAGGACCGCCGCTCTCTTTTGCACCGACCGCCGAAACTCAGAATCGTCGTCCAGGGCCGTCTAGGGTTGGCACTTGTAACATCTTCTATTGACAATCCAATAGATAGTATTATTTACTAGTAGTAGTTTAGGCTAACAACTCCCCACGTTTACTTTAACTGTTTTATGTGTGTATTATAGTTATTACGTAGTATTATTTATATAAGTTATTTACAAAAATGTACCTTCTTAAGTGTAGTGATTATATTAGCAAATAGTAATTTTAACTATAGTAATTGCCTTTAATTTTTTCATTGAAGTAACTATTATACTACTCATAATAATTATAGTTATAAATTTGTAATTAGAATTTACGTTAGGGATTTTTTGGAAAAAAAAACTATATAATCTATCTATAATAATATACTTCGTATATAGTAGTTAAAATTTGAAATTACTCTTATAAAACTATATCATTTTCTTATCAATTGCTCAATAAATTAAAGACATTTATTTTCATAGTTATGGATAGTAGGGGTTTGAACAATCCGCTGATTATTTTGAACTGCAAAACGCTGCATTTTGCAGCGGTTAGACATCAATCCGCTGAAAAACAAACGGGACCAATATCGTAGTTGCTGTTAGAATCAAAGTTATCTTCTCCATTTCTATTCACTGAATTACATGTGAAGCAACTAGTACTTGATCGGGTCGGGGCGGTTTGGTTTCGTGCAACGCCTTCACAACAAGAAAAAACAATTGTAGTTTGAAAGTAAAAACTCTGAATTATTGCTTCTCAATTACAAATCATGTCGCTCTCTTAATCGAATTATCTAATTCCATCCATATTTCTTCTTTCCATTTTCAAAAGTTTAAGAAAAATGATCAAACAGTATAAAATTAGGATTTTTTTGTCAAGCAACCTGTAGTATAAAATTGCAAATAAACAACTTTTTCTATCCTTGATTTTTTTATCTCATGGGGATGATACTAATTACAATATTCTTGTAATTTTATATTATTTAATGGTAATTATGATTACTATTTTATACTAATTTGCCCAAATTAGTATTTGAAGTGTTAGATTTGCCCAAATTTTCTCTCCCCTTCCATCTATCTTCTCATTCTTCCATCTCATTTTCACCCATTTTATCCAGCCACTTGCACAACTCTTCTTTCGCTCCCCACAATGTTTGTTTCTTCCAATTCATTTCTCTCATTATTTTTGCATGCTCCACCATAAAACCATCAAATAATGCAAAATTTGTATAAATCCAATTTACTTTCATAATAATGATAATTTTTAAGTAATTACGCAAACTAAATTTGGCATCAATATTGTTGTTTTGCAGCATTTCACATGGCATATGCATCACATACACACAAGTGTTCAATAGTTTTTTAAAATCAAAATATATCACTCTTGGACACAATTTGTACTCGCAAACATATGATCAATGGAAGTTTTTAGTTTTTATTCTAGTTGTCAAGTTTTTTAAAAAATTAAAATATAGAATAAATTAATAAAACCATTAAGTGTAATAGGGGAGCTTGACATGCTATACCATGCAGTTATATACCCCATGGGGATGATGCTTAGAAAATGTGGGTTACCCGGTGATGGAAGTTGCCATGTGATGGAAGCCTTCGGATAATTGGCCCATGTGTTTTTATTTAGTGAGTTTCTTCGTAACATCGGGCCAGCACACTTCATTGGACAAGGTCTTGGAGTTTGAGCCTCGGATACTGGCTTGTGGATGAGTATGGTGTGTCACTGTGTCCCAACCCCAGCCACGTCTAATGGCCTCGGACTTGAGCAAGCAGAGGACGTTTTCCGCGAAACTAGCAGTGTTGGGCCAATTTAAGAAGCGCTGCTGACCATCGAGCTTTGCCAAGGGACATGTATTGTACTTATAAGTTATAACTGGCCAACTAAATAGCCCAAGGCATATTTAACGAATGCTGAGTAACCTAGTAAAGTCATTGTGTACCTATAAATACCTCATATCTAGAACATGAAGAGTAAACCATTCACTTTGTATTCTCGTCGAGAGCTAAGAGCCTAAGACGCTCAAGCTAGAAATTTTAAAATATATGCAAGATCGAAAATGGCCCCTAAGAAGGTTCTGAGGACTAGTTGGAGCCTCGTAGGGGAGTAGTCGCATCTGTGCATAATAACAAGGCTCAACTAAGACCATAGCCACTTTAAAAGCGAAGAAGGCTATGAGCTATGACCCAATGTGGTCCAAGAGAACTCACCTGACCTTCGAGGAACACTACTTGGTAGATAGGCAGGAAGCTATATGGGTTCTTGTCCTCCCAGTGCAAGGTGTCCAAACTTCAACAGATTCAATCTCCTGTCAACTTTCAACCGCTAGCTAACGTATCCCTATTCTAGACGTGGAACCATCTATGGTCAATGTGCTCCACTGCTGCCACCTCAGCAACACCCTCATGAGCGCAGCCAATTCGTGTATCGACAGAATGACAAGAATTTGGTGATACGATGTCAGGGGAACGATCAGCCAACCCTAGGCAAGAAAGATTCAAGGTACATAAAGTACCAAAAGTACCGACATGTTGCGCAAAGTGATGAACAGGTGTCAAGTACACCAAGCACTGACCTGTCTTTCGGACAGATGAGGTCAAGGCACACTAAGTACTCCAATCTGTTGCAGATAGTGACTTAGAAAATACAAGTACATGAGAACAACAAAAACTAAATCAGGTATGAGAAGCTGTGTATGAAAAAACAAAAACAGAAAATATACCATTAGAAAATCAAGCCAAATGTTCCATTAATCTCCTTTCGAAAAACTGATTGAATATAGAAAACCTTATAAACTGTACTACGACATTCTCTCAACCCTTCTTTCTGTCTAAAATAGAATTTAAAAACAATGAAAAATGATCCAATCAACTAAAAATCGCGAAAAAAGGAGGCCAAACTGTTCAGAGATGCATTATTGTGTGCCATAATACAAATGCTCAAACTTCCATATCACTCGGTGTATTAGAACAGAAACTGCAAATTCTTTCTTTACAAAAAGAAGTGCAGCTACCTCATTGAGGTTATTTAACTATATCAGAGAACGAAAACTTGATGCCATTTGCAAATGGATTGTATTCCTCCATGGGGCCCTTCTTATCGCAGCCATGTTCACCACCTTTTATGTCATCCCTTGGTAAGTTTGATGTGAAATTCCCAACAGTCCCTTCTTTAACAGAAGTAGGATCAGAGAAGGCAAAAAGAGAGAAGGCTGAACCCCCCACCGCATCAACTTTTTTGTTACACTTCACACTTTGCCCCCTTATATCTTCATTGTGTTCATCTTTCATCCCAGCACCCCCTTGATTGTAAATCTTGTTCTCTTTTAAATCATCATTGTTAGATTGACAAGCAGGTTGGAGCACAGTTAAATGATGACCAGGAGGGGGAGGGGGAGGACTACTAAACAGTGGTTGAGGGAAAGGCTGAAAGCCAGCACCATACTGCATATACGGTGAGCTAACGTTCATACCATACGCAAAAGGGCTTGTGAATACATAGTGGCTGGTGGGATGGGGGTATGGCATCAAACTACTCGCCGGTGGAACTGCCCATGAAACCGGACTCTGATAGTAGTAACCCATTGTAGAAGCTTGAAACATTGGAAAGTGAACGTTCTGATTATTACTATTATTATGAACCGGTGGAGGATGTACTGGTTGTTGTTGAATTCCCAAAGTAACCCGTGATCTTTCATCACCATGGGGGGCAACTGAAGAAGCATAAGAAGATGTTGTACTACTGGGTGGGAGTTGATTAACACAAACTGAGCTCTCCATGGATTGCTTTTTACCACTTTGAAGGCATGGCAGTCTTTCTTCTGAATTTAGACTAGAATCTTCGGAATCTGAGGTCGATGAAGATTCAGGGTTAAGGACATTCACAGATGAGGAGGTATTGCTGTCTCCCTCACTGGGGCAGGATGAGCAATTATCAGAAGTGTTGGATGATGATTCTGCTTCCACATTGGATACTTCCTTAAGACACAGTGGGGACTTCACTTCATCACATTGGAAACCATTAACTGATTGGATGATAGATTTTCCGGAACCATTTTTACCAGTCTCTTCAGGACTGTTTTGAACAGAAACCTCAGACATTTCATCAGAGCTGCTGGAAGGAGAAGAAGACTTGGGATGCTTATCGATTTTGACGGCTTCTGTACAAAATGTAGATGGTCTAAATGTAACTATTGGCTCCCATACTTTCTTGGTGGCAGGCAAATCCCTGTTTGAACGGTAACCGTTTCCAGTAATAACTTTATTTTTAGGGTTTGCATAATTTTCACGCATAACATACTGCTTGGACATATCTATTGAAGAACCTGACTTGCTCACTGGTTTAGCCTCCCAGATGCCTCTGGCCGCCATGGAAGATGGTTCTATCTTCACTCTGTAATCAGTCTGTTGGTTACAGCTGCAAGAATGGAAGTCGTATCTGTCATTCAGTCGAGGGTTAGGGCAATGAGCAAACTTGGGTCCACCATTTCTCACATTACTTCTTGGTTGCTTGTTAAGTCTATCACAATGCCGTCTTGCTTCGTGTTGTCTAACCATATCCCTGTTTTCCGAAATGAACGGCTGCCTATCTGAGCATTTCAACCCTGAATCAACTTGAACTTCTTTCCAGAACTTCATTTTTTGGCGAGAATATCTAAATTCGCTCTGTTGACAAGACTCACTTTCATCTTTCAAACTGCTGAAATCATCATTGGTACATCCATCTGTGTAAAGTGAGGTAACTGAAGAAGTGTGTCCATTTAAAGGTATGTCGATTTGAATGTTTTCAGATGAAGGACTTGATGTGATGGCTTCATCTGTCTTACTCCCAGAGTGCTCGCTGTCAATAACAGCTGACTCTTCTTCATCGATGCAAGATGTCAATTCCTCCTTTAGAATCTCAGAATGAGATTGGTTCAAGTCAGAACATTTCCTCTCTCTATCCTTTTCCTTCTCCCTTAATCTCTCCTTCCTTCGAAGCTTTTTCTCCTTTTCTTTCACTCTTCTCCGTTCCTTCCGTTCTTCTTCTTCACGTTTTTCCTTCTCTTCTTCTTCAAGTAGTTTCATCTGTAGAAATGGAGCAAAGAGATAAAAACTTAGATGTTTTCACTGAATTCATATTAAATAAAACACCAAGACGAGCGAGGAAGAAGAGAGAGGACATAATAGTTGTTGTTGCAACTATTACATCCACACCTTTACCTGTTTCTCTAAAGTGATTATATCCTTGCATGCCACATGCACCTTCTCTTCCAGTAATTTTAATGCAAGACACACAAATATACTATGAGCATTTTGGCGTGCTGTTCCCTCTCTGAAGGCTTTTTCAACCTGCAAAAAAAATATGAGTTAGAAAATGCTCAGTCTTCACAGATAACACTTTCAACGGAATGAAATACAGCTAACTGTGAACAGTTAAGTTACCAAACACATTATTTTGTGAAATCGGAGTAAAATCAGAAATGTTTGTGAAATTTCAGGTTAGTCTGTACACATGTCAAGGTGTCTTTGCTACAAAAGATCCCACAAGGGCCATTAAAGTGGTAGCTGGTAAGTAGGTCAAGCTAGTTTGCACAGGTACAATATTGTCCCATCATTTGGCATCCTGGATCCATCAAGGGGACAGTAATGGAACGCGGAGAGGGAGATGGCATGTCATAATTGGGTACGGTTCCGTTTGGGTTGGTTGACTTACCCTGCTACCCACAATTCATTTCATCATCATTACCCCAGTGCCGCAAAGGCTCCCACCTACGGTGGTGTAAGGGGGGGTCGGATGTACGCAGTCTTACCCCTGTACTAAAGCACAGAGAGACTGTTTCCAAATGACCCGTAGTGAAAATCGCGTCAAAAATTGCATAGGCTGACCGTTACTTCATAACAAAGAAGCGCAGACAGTTTAGTGGGCCATTTTGCTTTATTCCATCATATTTACCACCACCGTTTCCATGCAACCTAGAGGCCATGTATGAAGCATGGAAGAAATATGAAAATACAAGAAAATGCGGATTTCACACATTTGAAAGAGAAGGGGAACTTGCCTGCTCCTTGAAAATTACAGTTGCAGCATCAAGAAGAAACTCACGAGCAAGTTCAGGACTCTTTGCATGCTTTTGAGGGCGGGTGCACTCAGCATCGAGATCACTTCCATCCTTATCCATGGAATCATCATCCTGATTGGAAAGAACATAAAATAAAAACGTCAAAAGGAGAAGTTTCTTACTGGTGTACAGAGTATATTGTATCACAAACATGAACAATACCTCTTCTTCCTCTGCCTCTTCAGCATGCTCGAAAAACCTTCTGATGTTGTCCCCTCTTGATATGGTAACATAACCATCACCCACCACCAGCCTGCAATGTATGCACTGTTGCCCCTTCATAGAGTGAGCTTTCACTGAAATCTCAGAGCAACGGCCATCCATTTTCCACGCTCTGAGAGTAATATAGCATGCACTCAGCCCACTGAGGTCTAGGCCATTCACTTCAACTCTTCCACTCAAACCAACGTTCTCAAACTCCAAGATATCTGATTTTCCTTCTCCAGTTCCAACTGCCCATTCAAAATGATGATATGTACCAAAGGTGTCGATGAAGGTTTGATGCCAATCTACTTGAATTGTATCACAGGAAACCTGAGAGAATTAAAAAAAATAGCATCATGCCCTAGTATCTCATTTCTCCCCTTTCACTCCCTCACATTTCTCTTTCATATTTCACCCCAACCAAACAAAGTGTAACTGCACCTCATATTGGAATGCTGTATCTGCTACGCAAAACCAGCTGGTGCAACGAGGTTCTCTCTTTATCCTCTTAAGTTCCTTTAGCTCCTTGAACTCACGAATAACGTTCCTTCGGCAGTCTCTACAAAACCTCTTGCTATCGAATCTGAACCAAGAAACAAAATACAAGTAAACCACAACAGTTATCAGAAGGAGCAGAATACCTACTTTTTGTACACCAAAAAAAATATAGATTGCACTAAAAGCCTACTCAATGAATATGGCGTTCTTATATTTCGACCAAAAGCTCATAAGTATAACTCCGACTAGAAAAAGCTTACTTTGAATTATGTGCAAAGTAGACACTATGAAATACATGGCATAAATAAAAAGGGTCAATAATCCCTCATTTCAAGTAGTTGATGCTGTATTATCTACATCGAGACCATATTATCTACAATTCATCTTCACAAACCCAACCCAATCAACCTTCATTTGAGGAGTGATTATAGAATAGGAGGGTTTCTAGCAAACAAGAAGGAAATGGTGATTAAATGATACATACAATGGGAAGAAAGTTAGTGAGACAGAAGAAAAACACCTGTACATGAGCCTTTCAATAAAGTCTTCTTCTTTCATTCTTAGAAGGGAATGCCGAGTCTCTTCTCCAAGTGCTGACCAAAAATCTACCAACGTATCAACAGAAAGTCTGGCAGTGTGAAGTGCACATGTTTCTCTTGTTCCATGAGCCCTTCCATAACCTGCCATTCCTTGACTTATCCAACCTCTACCGCCTCCACCACATGCATCAGGATAAAGCAATTCCCGTTCACGTTCCCTTGCACGTGCACTGTCAAAAACCTGCTTCATGAAATATAGATACATACAAATGTACATATGTATATGAGAGGAACATATAAAAAACATTAGGAGAAAAAAGTAATTGGCGGATAATTACGGAGGCACATACATTTTGGAGTCCTTTCAAAGATTTTGTTAACGTATAAGAGTCTAGCAGGGTAAGGGCTCCATCCCGAGTTGTGGTTAGACCTCCCCAGGGATGGACAGACGGATCATGCAAATCATCTTCACCTTGACTTTTCAAGGTTCCTATTCCAGCCCAAGCATGATGAATGCATGCTCCCTCCTGTTGCAAAGACTTTCCATACGTGACAATTTGCCAAAAACCTTCCAGCAATAACCCATTGCATCTAGAGCAATACATATTCTTACGAGCTTGCTCAAAAAGGGTTTGCTTATCAATCCTCATAAGCTCCTGTCGAGCTTGGGGTGGAAGCTCACTCCAAAACTACAAGACAGAAATCCCCATCACTAACCATATAAATACTGCGCACAGAATTCAATCACACATCACAATCCATAGTTATTGATTAATAACCACTTTCCTTAGTATACTACTAATTAAAAAATGGTTTTGGCCCGTAAGATGCTGTAGATGGTTCTAAGATTACATTGAGATGCTAAACTTATCAAACAGCATATCCCCACTAACCAGTCATCAGTCAGCACGAATTCAAATTTGAATGCTGGACAATATCTTATGGGAACTAAGCTTTGATAACAGTTAGAGCACTTCATGTCATAGTACTCCTAACAGCAAAAGGGCATTTAGAGGTGTCTTAAAGTGGAACAAGCAAGCAGATATACATCCTAAATCGATATCACAAGCCAGATATACACCCGTCCACATTTTATTCACACTGTACAATCAAAATTCACGAGTGCCCAACACAATCTATCCAACAACAATACATGAGATTAATAGATTTGATTAATTCGTTAAAACCTACTACCTTCTGGAGCTGATTGTAGCTGACATCGTCGCGATGTTTGGACCAGAATCCACTGCCGGAAACGGATCCGTTAAACGACACCGCTCCGTTGGCAAATTTCTGGTCATTTTTCTGAGCTAATCCTGGCATTTCTTATATCTTAATAAAATCGCGCCACCAATCTTCTCACCATCCCCTCCACTTTTCAAGCAAACCAAAATTAGCAATCATAAAGTTTATGCGTACAAATTGTAGATCGAATCATGAAATTAGTAAATAACAGACATCCAATATGATTAGTCTGTGACACGGATGAAGAATCTAAGGGGAAATTATGATAGGAAGAAAATTCGAGAATTTAGAATAGATGAATTGTGAGGCGGAGATGTATATAGGGGTTGGCGTTGATGAGATTTGATGCTGTAAATGTGTTAATACGTACGTAAATCTCTTTAGTTTTGCTTTAGAGAAAGAGGCAGCCCCTTGTGGCCCTTTGGCTTGACAACTGTGAACAATTGCCTTACATAAGCCCAAAGCCATAGTCACTCCTCTCTACTTACTATTACCCTTCAACTTACTATTACCACAATTTATTTGAAAATTTACCTAGTTAAGACCATTACAATCTCCTAATTTCAAAATTTGAAATAGTTGTTCATTACTCTCTTTTAGGAACAAAACTATGTCAAAAGATTATATATCTTTATAAACTAATAATTGATTTTCTCCTTCTATTTCATCAATTGATTACATTATTCGTGTTTTCTTTTTTGAGTCAATACTAAAGCATTCTCTAACCAAAGCCACTCACACGGAGATGGGGGATGACCTGTGAGCTGAGCGCGACAGCCACACGCCGTTGAGAAAAATCTAAATACATGGAAGTAAAGATGTCCCATTTTTTATTAACTTTAAAAGATATGTTTAGCGATTTAATGGAAAATTGATTAAGATATGTTCTGATATCTTAAGTTTTGAATAACAAATTCGAAGGAATTGTGTTTTGAAAGACATTTTCATATATTTGTGTTCTCCCGAACATCATTTTGTTGTAGAAATCAAAACAAATTGTTTTGATCATTTTGATTTGGTAACTCAATGAAACCTTGTGATGGGATGTCATTGTGTGAATGTAACTTTACTTTGATGCTTCATTTATTGTAGTCATTGTACTTGATAGAGTATATCAGGGGGAACGCGTCGGCTATCAATGGGTGACATAACTTCAAAACAAGTCCTAAGGAAGGTTTTTCGGGGTCTAAGTGGGTTCTCCTACAAACACTAGATCTAAACTCTAAAAAGCAAAGTATGAACAAAAAATGAAGAACGGACAAATAATTGACCTTGAAGATTTGAAGAACTCGAAGAACATTTTCTCTCTAAAAAATCCGGCAGCACTTCTTTGCTTCTCGAAAGCAGAGTGAGGGGAATGCTTCATAAGGGGATATTTATAGAGACCCAATCCAACTTATGACACATGGCACCCCACCAGTGATCAATCAAACGTCACCGGTCACCTCCAAATGTGACCAATAAAATGCCATCCGCCTCATTATTGAATCAGCTACATCAGTATCGACCAGAGTCACCACAACATTTGAAACATGCAACAACCACATCACAGACAAAAGTCGCAACGGCCAAACACCACACGACGCCACATTGGCCAAATAGAGACAACCCAAAGCCAGAGGCCCTCGTACAAAACCTATTGATGATAACCTCTAGTCTACGACCTTCATCCATGGATTCTCCCAAATAGTTACCTTGGTCAGGGATTGCTATGAGATTGGACTCGTGAGGAAGTCGAGAGTGCTTTGGCCTAAGGGCACATTCTTACTCCTTCACTCTGAGTGCACACTCTAGGCCTGGAGGAGTGGGGGATTGGGGGATTGGGGGACTACGCATCGGTCAAAGTTGGCAAAACCTCAAAATAACCAAGCAAATTCAAATTCAAAAGCAAAGGACACACTTCAGCATCGGCGCATCACACCAAACACGGAGCATATCCTCGCATCGGCCAGAGAACAAATAAGCCAAAACAAGGGAACATGAGTAATCTACCCCCTTTCACTTCGTCATATCTCAGCTCAGAGAGTGGAGAACTCCTGATGAAGTATATGAACCCAAACCTTATGACCCACATACTCACAACACCAACGCCAAGCCAGTTGATATGTGGTTGGTCCTCCATTGGCCAAGCCCAGGACTAGAAACGCATGAACAAAAGACCGACACCTCACACACTTGGGTCCCCTTCGTCTGGCCCTCCATCGGTCTGGCCCCTCTTCGGCCAGAACATCACCAGTAGGCTATCTTTTGTACACTTTATACTTGGCTCTGAAAATCATGTAATCGACTCATTAGAGGCCTTATATTGTACCGGGACTCCCAGTCCAGCCCATATTTCCTTTATAAATACTCCCCTTTGGAGTAGTTGTGGGGGGTTGAGAAATATTAATTACAAACACTTTCTCTCTCTAGCTCCATCTTCTCTCTAAATGTATACTTGATCGGTATTGTACTCAAAATATTGTGCTCGTTGTAACCTATAAGTAATTGTATGGACATACACTTGAATTAATGTCATACATTATTTTTGGGGAAAAATAATAAAAATATCTCAAACTTTGAAGGGGTGTAAGGTAAACACCCCAAACTTGCATGTGTAATTTAAATACCCCAAACTTTATATAAGAAGTTATTTTTGCACCATTGTCATGTATAATCTCTTTCAAAAATGTATATTTATGGGGTTAATTGCATAAGTTCAAATAGAAAATTAAAGATGTTGCAATTATATAGATTGTGGGTGACATTGTTTATTTCTCAATGGAAGTTTAGAATGTTAATTGTGTCTTCATGAACTCTAAATTATTTTAAATTATGCAATTAGCACCCTAATTAAATTTAAATTTTTTAAATAAATAATACTCGACTAATGACTATAGTGCTGAAATAACTTTTTATATAAAGCTAAGACAATTTAAATTACATATGCAATTTGGAATGTTCATCTCAAACTTCTTCAAAGTTTAGGGTAGTTTATTATTTTTCCCTAGTTTTTTTATGCGATTCGTAACATATATTACTATCATAGTTCAATTGTCATTCATATTATGTGTAGAAAATTAATATTTATTCCTATTTATAGAATATTTAACTGCCTCTTATTTAGAGAAAAGAAGCACTCCCTTTGTTCCCCTATTTTTGTCTCATTTTACCTTTTATGTCCATCCCACTAACTATGTCTCATTCTATATTTGGTAAAATTTGGGTGACCAACTACTATTCATTATTATTTTATTTACACTTTATCAACTTAGTGTCAATCATGCAATTTCACTTTAGAGCATCTTCAATGCCACTATGTGCGCATTACACATGTGACATGAAAGATAGTCACATAAATATTACCAAATAAATTATTTATCTTCTTAAATAAAAAAATGGCACTAATTTTTTTCCAAAGTAGTGCTATTTCCATCCTCATAGAGTTAATGCCATAAAAATGACATTCATTCTCGATGACATTTTCAAATTCAAAACAATAAAAATATACACGCATTTCATAAAGATAACACTATTATGAAATCAATTTCGAATAGATGATATTTAATTGGAAAAATAATTATAATTATGTCATTTTCAAATTCAAAAATTATCATAACAAACCAACAAATATTAAATTAAAAAATCGAAATAAATAAAAAATGTGATATATAAAAAATAGAGATGATGGAAGGAGGAGGAAGAGGAGGAGGGAGGGGGGGAGGAGAAAAAGGACAAGGAGAAGAAGAAAATTCATCATCCATATACGGTCACCGCTCACTAGAGGCCACCGTCGTTCGCCGCTCACTGGTGGTCGAAAATGGATCATCCATACCTCTAAAAATTGTTGAAGATGTGGGAAATCTACATCGACATAATAGAATTAAAGTTATTGTTGAAGAAATGAATATCATGATTTACACGTAATATATAAGCTACAAATCAACTTAGCATGTTTTTTTGGACTGAAATTTGCTAGTCTGGACTGATCTGAACTAGTCTGGTCTGTTAAATGTTTGGTCTCTGTGTATTTTATAACTATGGAAGTCTGGTCTGGTCGTATCATTATATTATTTTCAAAATATTTATTGTGATAACATTTAAAAGAAATTAGTATTGGTATTGATCAATACCAATACTAATTTCTTTTAAATGTTATTTTCATCTCTTTTAACATAAAATACCAGGTCGTACGGTGAGCATCGTCCAACCGGGTGTACGATATAATTTACCTCATAATATGGCCATAATTAAATTACTCCTATTTAGCGAATAAATTCGAGATAACTCCTATTATTGAATTTTCTTAATGTTTTACTCCAATTTAGATCAATTACTTATACAAAAATTATACTTCGTATAATAGTTTGTGATTGTCTTGTGTCTTTGATTATTAACTCATGTATATTTTTCAATTTTCTGTCCTAATTATTTTGTTATTACAGTTCGATTTATTGTACTTGTATATATGGAAGATTTGTTCCAATTCAATATGATCGAAAGAAATTTTTTAAAATTTTAACCCAAAATTATGAGGAATGTCATGCAAAATAATAACAGCAACAACATAAATGCATTACATTTTATTAAAACAATTAATCTCTTTTATTGCTTAATTTGGAATAAATACATTCACGCTGAGACATAAATTTAAATAAAAATAATATGAACTTTGATACGTAGTACACCCTCCGGTCCTAAATAAACTTCACACTTTGATTTCACACAAATTAAGGTAATAAATTTGACTTTACTGCAGAGTACATTGTTGTGACACTGTTTGACACTGTTTTGCACTGTTTTGCACTATTTTGATATAGATAATTAGCCAAATAAAGAAGGTGGAAGAAGTGTGAAGTTTATTTTGGACCTAACCAAAATGAAAAAGTATATATTTTGGTAGCAGAATGTAATGCCTTTAATTAAGTTTACCTTTAATTAAAAAAAAAAGACAATAGCAAGAAAACAAGAAAATAACAGAGAGCTTGCAACAAGATGGAGTTGATAAGAAAGTAGACAATGGCTGCTAAATTAATTAAGATCAATGATTAGTAATGAAAAACATAAACATTGTACTCCACCATTGCATCTCCTGTTTTCGCATTATACATACGTGTCTTCGCCTCAGCATAACCGCGAGCAAACCGGAAAAGCCCAGTCCCGCCGACGACCGGCATCTCCCTCACGGCGGAATTCACGGCGTTCTTTCCCAGCACAGTGAGGCAGCTCCCACCATACTTCCCTTCCACAAACGCAAAGTTGAGAACCATCAACAAACCCACTTCATCGATCGCCGCCGACGCGTATACGCCCTGTGCCCGTCCGACGAGCTTGGAGGAGAGGTTTGGGCCGGCGGTCAAAGGGTCGTCGATCATGGCCATCATCCCGAATCCTGTTGCCGACTTGTTGGTGGAGGCGGCCTGGGCAATCTTGACGGCGGTGGCACTTTTCCCGCTAACGATGTCGTGGAAGAAGAAGCGGAGGTGGCTCAGCTTTTCTCCTTTTAATCCCATCTCCTTCTTTGAGAGCTTTCTTGAGAACTCATCTGCAGAATCTGCTAGGAAGAGAAGGGTTGAAAGAAAGAGAATAAAGAAGAAGATAAAAGGGCTGAATTTAGTCATGATTTTGGCCATGTTGATGTTTGTTCTGAATACTCTGTAGTTTAACTTCGCACCAACTATAAGGACCTAGGAGTATTGGGTTTACACTTTACACACTGAATTTTATTAGTGTGGCAAAAAAGTCCAACTAGCTCATTATTTTTACCTACGCAAAGCACATCAAAGTCAAAATTTTACATTATAAAGAGTACCAAATATAGACTTTCATTAGTAGAGCTTAACCGGTGGACATAGCTCAACTGGTAGTGAGAGGGTGCCACAAGGGTTAGATCCCGGATTCGAATCTCGGCAACTGCAATGAGGGGTTATTATGCTAAAAAATGCATATGACATCTGCAAGTATCGGGGACATACCCCCCTCTCTATCTGTCAGATTGGAATTATAGTCCAACTTACAACCTCCCAACGTACCGTCCGGTCAGGTTTAGGGGGCCTCAAGGATGGGGTGTGACGAGCACTTTGTCGCGGTGTGTCCAAATAAATTCAATACTAACACTTATATGTAGTATAGCGTAGTAGAGTTCGTATCTACATGGAAAAAAAATAATTTTCTTTTTATGAACTTAGTAAATAAAAGGGGGAGTTTGGTGTTGAATGATTTAATTTAATTAAAAACTAAAATGAACAACTTATATTTGATTTAATTCAAAGATAAAAGGAACTTGGTTTTGCTACTTTCCACTTGTTGATATATTTAGTCTATTGGGATATCGGACCGAAGACCCAATACCCGAGTCAAAGGCCCAATATATCCAGTCCGATAAATGGCCCGGGATCCAAAAGATGAACATGCCCGGGGGAAAATATATACCGAATGGGGTTCGGACCAGCCGCAATACTTAGGCCAAATCAACGAAGTTTCAGCATGGCCCACCACTTCGATCGGGCAACGGACCATTGGCAAGTGGTGAAGTGCATTAAATGCTAGAGTGTGACATCAGCAAGTGGGAGAATGAGCATCCAAGTGGCTGGATCAGCCACCAATCAACAAGGAGCACCCCATACCCCCCATTAGTATAAATAGATGGATTAATCTCATTGTAAAGGGTTAGCATTCTGATAATCAAAGCCTAGAATAGAATTATCTTTCTTGTTCTTGTATTAATCATTATTCCGACGTACCGTTCGGGAAGTTATCGTGTAATTCAGTAAATTATTTAATACAAGTGGGCTCTTGAGATTATTATTGATTTCAGTTTTTATATTTTCTTATACACACAAATCATTATTCACGTCCTAGAATATCCAAAGTGTGTGTTGGACTTTCGGATCTACGTGATTTAACCTCAACATATATAGTCGATTCTTGTTATATCTATAACTTATTTCCTCTCGAATAGTCAATCGAGGAATATATCCAATTCATCGAGGGTAGTTATTAACAATGACCGTTCATTAATAACTCGTACTATTAATCAAATATAGAACAACGCCTTATACCGATTTAATAGTAGCATTTAATCTTTCTAACTCCTTGATGAAATCAATTGAGATTGATAACTTCAACACAACGGTTTTGGTTTAACGAACAAAATTAATCCCTCTTAAGTTTATTAACCACGACCGTGCATTAATAAACCGAAGTTACTTACTTGTGAAACCATCAACAATTAACCATCGATTCGTTGGTCGTTTCTAGTAATAATTAATATTGAGATGTTGACTAATTGTCATCTTACCAACACTCTCCAATATTAATATAGAAATAGATTAAGGGAAGAATTAATATTCAAGGAGAGAAGTTAAGAAAATAACTCACAACTTTAATAATCAACAAAACCGAACTAAATCAAACAGTGAGTTTTTTTACCAAACAGCTACCACCTGTTCTCGTCAAGATCTTTTCAGTCACTAAAAGCTAACAGTTATTAAAAAGCTCACAAAAGTATCTTTTCAGTTAGTTGTGCCAAACATACCCTAAGTGCTACTATTATCTTATTATAACGGTTCTCTACGAATTTTCTTTTTTGAAAATGACTCATCACAATTTCATTTATAACTATATCAAACACGTCTTTTTCGACATAACAAATACCACCTCCGTCCCATAAAATTCTTCCCACTTTGACTTGACACGGAGATTAATAAAATGGAATAAAGTGGAAATGTGTGGTTGTAGTTGTGTAAGAAAAATGTGAAATGAATGTGAACCACACAAATTGTTCAAAAATGGTAAGTGAGAAGATTTTTTTGGGATGGACCAAAAAGGAAAGTTGAAGAATTTTATGGGACGGAGGGAGTAACACACAAACAAAATACTTGTCTTCGTTCACATTATATTCCAATCAATCTCTACATCGATCCCATCAATTACTGAAAGGAAGGATCAAATTCAAATCAATTTCTTATAAATATATTTTTGAATATGTATGTACTATTTGATACATTAACACTAGTTCAGCACTTGAACTTTCTCCACCAGCAATCTCACTTATCGGATGAAGGTAGCGTTTTTCTTTCAAAGTATATCATTACCATTGTTTAATGTAACCAAATATATTTCATTTTAAAATTAAATTTATTAATATTATAGTGAAAATCATTTTCTTAAAACTAAAATTAAATTAGTTATTAATTACTACAAAAGAAATAAGTGTACTAAGTTTATGTAACACAACAAAAGCCTATTATGATTAACAATTTAGCACCCTTACGCAACCTGAAATTAATAATTCCGAAAAGTTAAATTCTAATCTAACAATGAAATAGAAGTGCATTGATTCGGCTGATTAAGAGCCCGTTTGGTATCACGAAAATCGGCTGATTCGGCTTATTCTGTTGAAATTTATGAAGTTTTAGCTGAAGTGGTTGTATTGGCTGATTCTGCTGATTTAAAAACAATTTTTTTAAAATACATTTTATTAATAAAATAAAGAAAAATTATATGTAAAAATAGCTAAAATGATCTGCAGTAACTTCAGCCAATACAGCCAAAAAAGTAACTTCAACTTTACTTTTTCTTATTATTACATAATTCAACGTGCGAAAACAAAAGTTACGTGTTTGGTAAAAAGGTTGGCTGATAAGCCGAAAAATAGTGTTACCAAACGGCCTCTAAGCCTCCAGTACGGTCAATCAACAATACTCCGTAGCTAATAGTATTGCTCCATAACTCTTAGGGTGCGTTTGGTTCAAGGAATGTCAGGTTACCATGGGAATCTCAGATTGATGTGTATGTTAGATTGATGGGAATGTATTCACTTTATTTCCATCTGTGTTTGGTTAAGGTTAAGGGAATGTGACATTAATTTATTTGGTTAAAAGATATCTTATATTACAGATATGGTGGATTACCCCAATGCCTTTTAAATATTTTCTCTTAACACAATAAAAATAAATTTAAAAAATGTTCTAAGTTATTCGTAAAACTTGTTTTCAAATTAAAGAAAAAATGATCAATTTTTCCATTAAATTTTGAAATCCACTCATTAAAAACTTAAATAATCTATAGGCATAAATACCTTAAAAAATTTAAATGTTAAGGAAAAAAGAATTATGAAAATAACAAGAATAGACATTCGAATATAATTAAATAAACATACTCCATTCGTCCTACTTAAAAGGTTGTCACACAATCTAGATATTCGACTGACTATAAAATTAAGAAATAATGACAAATATATAACCGAAACGAAGGTAATGGACACAAATATGACTTAGTGATTATAATAGTAATTTTATTGACCATGATAGTGTTCAACTTTACATCATAGTGACTATGCATATTAACCGTAGTTATATTTTTATCCATAACTTATATTTTAGTAATATTTAAGGGAACCCCCTAAAATTAACGGATCCTTGTCAATAATAAGATTATTTTTAGTAAATAAAAGTTACACATTTAGAAACTACATTAAAAGTTTTATAAAATCACAAAAATTCAAATTTGATAAAAAGTTGAATACATAGAGAAATTAAATGAAAAACGATAATTAATTGAGGGTATTTTCGAAAGAAAATTAGATCATCCCCAAGAATGTCACATAAACTAAGACATGAAAGGGTATAACATTCCCCTCCATATTACATTCTCGGGAATGTAACTTTCCCTATCTTTTCTCAAAAGAGTTAATTATCAAAATAGGACTAAAAGTCATTCACTTTTCACAAATAAGACCAAAAAATAAACTATGTTTGCATAGGACTAATTATGTGTACCTTGGACAATTATACCCTTATAGCTATTAAAATGTTTTAATTCCTAATAAAATAATAAATAATAATAAAAATTCGTAAAAAATACTAAAAAATTAAGAAAAACATTTCGATATTAAAAATTTAATTTTTTTTTTTTCAAAAAATAAAAAAAATTAAAAAAAAAATAAAAAAAATAAAAACTCAAAAAAAAAAATCGCCGCCGCCTCTTCCGCCTCAGCACCACCACCTCCAGTCATCAGGGGAAAAAAATGCCAAGTTCATTACGAATACCATATTTATGGCAGAAACAAATGAAAATGTTGGCATTCGAAAAGAGAAATATGCCATTTTTTTGGCATTTTCCGAAAAAATGGAATTTTCCTGGGAAAATGACATTTTTTTCATCGGCCGGAGGTGGTGGTGCTGGGAGGTAGTACAGGCGGTGGGAAAGACATCCATATTTTTTTAAATTTTTTTACGGAGTTTTACTATTTTTTATTAATTTTTTTTAAAATATAATTATTTTAAAAAAAGTTTTTGAATTTTTTATTTTATAAAAATTTTATAAATTTTTTAATTATATTTCTACGAATTCTTGAATTTTTTTCGAATTTATTATGAATTAAATATTTAATTATGGCTTTTGACTATTTTTAATTCATATTTAATGGAAGGGTAAGAATGGAATGCAAAAATAGGTATGTTTCCAATAAGACTCATATGGTCCTATTTTGGAATAAAAACATAGCAAGTCTTATTTTAGGTTTTTGCCATAGTTTTAGTCCTATTTGAACTAATTTATATTCTCAAAACCGTGAACCAAACATGGATATCTAACATTCCAAGCATCACATTCCGGTCTCAATGTGAGATAACCTCAGACCAAACATACCTTTATTGACTTCTTTCATAATTAAATTACTAAACTAATAGCTTAAAATGACGACAAAATGAGAAAGTAGTGTCATTCAATAATGAGATTTGATTTGATAATATTAATGG